TGATGGGGGCAGCAGTGTGGGCAGGGTCTCGCTCGGCGGTGGCCATGGCACAGAGTGCTGGAACTGGGGCCTGGGTTGCAGAGGTTGTCACTGAGGTCACCATGTTCACGAGCGGACAGGAGTCGGCTCTGGGGTCTTTTAAGAGAGTCCGGAGGTCCTATAATAGCAGGTGGGGGGCAAGGGACTGTCAGGAAGGTACCCTCTTATGTCGTTCTGGAACCCTATTTTTTTAACCCAGACCCATGTAACCCGGGACCCACGTAACCCAAAGACGCAGCCCCGAGCAGCGGGGACTCCCAGTGCTGAGGCCCCATCCTCATGCTCGGCCTCAGGAGCAGACAACCGCAGCCCACTCATTCTCTTCCCCGCACCGTGTGCTCCGTCTCCTTGACTTGGACATCTGTTCTCCACCCACTCCTTCATCGCCACCCTCCCTTCTCTCATCCCCCTCCCAGGTAACGTCGTCTGTCTGCAGCCCGCGCCCTGTCCCTGCGGCAGAGTCGTGGGCCCTGGTGTCCACCCTCCCACACCTGCAGCTCTCCCGACACAGGGCCCCCCTGCACCCAGGGGGCGGCTCCCGCGCTGGGCACCCCCTCCCCCGGCTCCTGGGGCAGCGAGTTCCAGTCTGGGACACCTTTCGCTCTAAGTCCTATCACTGAGCCCAGATCGGCCTCCTTGGAAGAGAGGTTGTCCTGCTTGTGTCCTCTGAAGCTCGGTCAGACAAGTCTCTGATGACAGCTTTTCTCTCAGACATGTGACATTAGAGAGATGTTCCCTCCACCTGAGCACCCCCCGCCCCCGAGTCAGTGACTTTTGTTCCTTCAGGTCATCTCCCTGGTCTGCCCTTCGTCTGTCAGCACTGCCCTGGCCCTGGTCCGGAGCCTCCCCGCCTCGGGCCCAGAGCCCCTCCTCGCTGGCACAGGACGAAGCTCTCCACACCACAGCAAACATACAGCTCCCTCCTGGTAGTGGCCCGGAGCCTATAGGAACTCCTCGCTCCTTATCCCGGGCATTTAAGGTCTTCTTTCCTGTGTGTCCAATTTTATGTACGATTGCTTCCTTACACAAAACCCTTAACTGCCAGCAAACCAGCCAGATTCACCGTCCGCAGCACATGCCATCAGTACCCCTGCCTCTGGGACCCGGTCTGCACCCGCCCCTTTCCCCCCCTCCAACACCGTCTTGTCTTTGGAGGCCTCCCTGACTTCTGAGGCTCTGCAAGGGCCCTCCTACATCCCACAGAATCCACGGTCCTCACCACTGTGCTTTACATATGCTGATTTTCTAGACGAGTCCAATCCTAGGTCCTCTGAGGACTCTCATTCCCACACAGCCTTCCTAGGACAATGACGAGATAAACCCAGCTGCCAGGGCTCCCCGAGCCTCTTCCCCGTTTTCTTCGAATGCCCCTCTTAAGGGCACGCCTTGGGCATCTCTGTTTTCCAGCAGCGTCTGAAAAGGGCACAGTCCTCTCCTTGGGACCGGGTACACGGGAACCACAGCCCCCCTGTGCCACACGTGGGGAGAGGGATGCAGTGAATTCCAACGAAACAATTTGATGGCCAACAGTTATTTACCCTGGTTCCCAGCAGAGAGATCAGTTTAGGTTCTTCGCATCTTCACAATAATGCACCCTGAAGCGCTTCTTGTGGGGAAACTCTCCCAGGATTGCCCCGGAGTGGTTGCAACTGCCCTTGGTCATCCATTTAAAAAAAACCTTGTGTCCCTGGCCACAATTTAGGCACTCTTGCCGGAACACTAATTTCATTTTCTCAACTTCTGCCATTTACAAGCAATGTAACTGTTATGTCCTCTAATTTCCCATTTCTCGAATGCTTTTGTTTTTCGGTAAGCCTTCTTACTTTTCTTTACTCGTGGACGTGTGTGTTTTAGACGCAGAGCCCATGGACAGGAGCCTTATGCATCTGGCAGAGTGCAACCTGAGGGCACAGGGCTCAAAATCAGTGCTAGACTCATATAGCCCGAAGGTACTAGAAAGCTTACGATTTTGCCTGGAGAGTCGAGGCCTGGGCATTTTCTCTTTATCCACTGTGTCTATTAAGGAAATCAGGCGATTATAACTCATTCTGTAATTTCTGAGAGTGGGGAGAGGCATTGGGGACTATGGTAATAATAAAAGACATGGTCGTTACCCTTACGGGCTTAGGAACACCCGGGTCACTCTGCCTCTCCTCTCTGGACCTAGGGAGTATACACCCGAACAAGGACTGATAAATATCTTACACTGGGCAAGCACTCCAAAACCCCAAATGAAAGGCTCAGGTGGAAGCTGGGTTGGAGAACATGGCTTAGGCCAGGAAGCCCAAGGGAAGCCTCGTTCTTCCTAGAAGTTAATACCTATAAAGACCCCAGACAAAGGTTACAGTGCTGCGACTCCTTTATGCTTGGCTCCAGGGCACCATTCTACGACCTAGTGCAGAGCCAAGGGTTGGAGGAGCAAGCAAAGCGAGGGCAGCTGCTGCGAGAGGGGGCACGGAGGGCACACAGGACCTGCCTCCCCATGCTTGGGAATTCATTTAGCCCTCCCCACTGGCCCTATAAGGTGGGTGGCGCTATCGCTGCCATTCTGCAGTGAAGAAACTGAGGCACAGACGAGGCAGGTTGCCCAAGGTCACACAGCTGTCGAGGCAGAGCTGGGACTTGAACCCAGACAGGCTCGTTCCTGGTTTAGCCGTTATGAACACGGCTGCTTGCGAAGAGCCTTGGTCGCACCCCCTTAGCCTCCTGTCAGCAGCCCTGCGCCTCCCTCTGTCAGTGAGCCCCGGGCCAGTGACACTGGGGAGTGTGCTTGGCTAGGGACATTTGGGGCAGTGGCTGGAGAAGGGAGCAGTGCACTAGCTTGCACTTTTTTCTCGCAAGTGTGTGCCTGTGTGTCCCTGTTATGAAACACAACCACGAGGTAAAAGGGGTGAATTTGTGGCCAGGTCTGTAACCTGGGGATCAACCTTTGGACATCACTAAGATGTCCAGACATGTCAATTACTGTGTCTCTGGGGCCCTTGTCTCCTTCTCAGAGGGACTGACAAGTCACAGCCTCTGCTGAAGGAGCACCCCTTGACTGCCATACTTTTTAACTGCTTGCATTTCACGCTCTCCTCGTTGGCCCAGACGCGGCTCCAGACCGAGAGGCCCCTGAACCATAGTCCGGTCAGGGACCTACAGTGTGGCCCGCCAAGACACCAATCACGTTCTCGATCTTGGGACCCTGGTTTTGGAAATGGCGAGGCAGTGAGGGTGAACGAATGTGGAGGTGGCTAAGGCTGTGACAGGTCAGGCTTTAACGCTGCAGAAGGGCTACTGTGTGGAAGGACATTTACACGGTCAAGGCTGAGGAGGAGCTGGCCGGGAGCAAATGAGACGCCGAAGAGCAGTGTCAGACCACGGGGACGCACCGTAGCAGGGGAGGCTGAACCCTGCCTGTGTGTGAGAATGGTCCAGAGAGAAATTAACAAGTATTAGTGCCCACACTTGTCGCCAGAGCCTCGGTTTAATTGGTGTAGAGTAGGGACCAGGCACCAGTAGGTTCAAAATCTCCGATGAGTCTCCGGACAAGGTGGGTGGAGAACCAGTGACCTTTGGCAAGGTTCCCGCTGCGAGCAGAATCCTAATTCTGTGCAAGTATTGGAGCTGGGCCCCACCCCCGAGAATAAAGCCTCATTGGCCCGAGCTGAACAAGGTCACCCCAGCCCTGTTTTCCCGTCCTAGAGTCAGGGAGGTGGCTCAGTTCTGACCACTGACGTGGCGGCGGCAGCTGGAGAAATGCCTTTCTCTCTTCCTGCATTTGGCTGATGTGATGCCTGGAGCTTCCGGAGCCATCTTGTGACGACTAGGAGGGGAAAACCCAGGGAGCAGCAGAGACTGCGACCAGAGTCCTGATGTGATGGCTGCTGAATTTACCACCCCACCCCCAGGAACCACCTCCCTCCAGATTTCTCATTCCTTACCTGTGTGCTCACTGCACGCCAGGTGCCATTCTAAGTACTTTCCATGTACTACTTAATGGGATCCTTCAAAGCCCCGAGGCCAGTCCTCTGGACGTGAGAGTGCTCCGTGCTCCCCGACATGAGAACCGGCCCGTGCCCTGCACCAGCGGCCTTCCCATCCACTACCCTAACTCAATGCCACTTAAGCATGTTTTTCTGAGACAAAGTGGAATATCGTGTATACTGTCAGGATATTTAAAAAATAGCCCAAAGATAGCAAAAGGCCTCAGAGCTAGTGAGTTCTAGGTCTACAGCCCAACTCGGCTTGGTTCCCTTGATAAAATATCCACACTGCGCTCCATGTTCAGGGTGCTTTCGGGTGATGCCTTTCTAGGAACTCCGTGAGGCTTGCTGACTGCCTCTCCGTGCCCCTGCCTCTCCCCCGTCACCGGCCTCCCCACTCTTACCCCATTGCCTCCCTCTTCCCCTTTTCTCCAAGCTTCCAACAGATGGATTTAGGAAGAAGATAAATAGGGCACCTCTCTCTCTCCCCAAAACCCAAAACACTCCTGAGTGACAGCAATTTTTAAAATCTGGATTTTTTTTTAAAGGGAGGAATAACTTTTAAACAAATTTTATTTATCTTTAAGTAATCTCTACATCCAGCGTGGGGCTTGAACTCATGACCCCGAGATTAAGAGTCACACGCTCTCCCAACCAAGCCAGCCAGGTGCCCCTGAAATCTGGATTTCTAGGCAGCAGAGAGTCCTTCAATATTAGCAGTTGCTCTCAACAGTCTGGTTGTTATCTCCAAAATGGGCTGTCTTTTCCTGCTGACTTGTCCGCCCACCCAAACAGACGTCTAGGCAGTCCCTTTCTTCGCCAAGGGCTGTGCAGAGTCTGCACCAGGAGGGTACACAGGCCCCTGTCAAGGCACGCCCAGCAGGCAGCCCGTCCTTTCTCCCAACTGTCTTCAGGACTCTCTTCTTCCACGCTCCGAAACCGGTCCGCATCGGCCCGGCCCCTCGGTTCAGGCTCAAAAAAATACCACAGGTGTGAAGAGTTTACACAGACTTTATTTTCCCCCCATTGAGCACAGGAAGGCCTGGGCAGAGGTGCCGCGGTCGCCTGCCCTGGTTCACAGACGCAGACCGTGGGCGGGACTCGGGGGCAAGGGACAGGGTCCCGTTCCTACCACAGATTGCTACGGGATTATCACAACACGTTTGTTCTCGGCTCTATTTACACCGTGGAGTGTGGAGAGGGTACATTTCTTACACTAAAAATATAGATTCTGGAATCTCTAAAACAAAAATATCTCTATCTCTACATGAGACCTACTAGAAAGAAGAACATAGAAAACCAGGGGAAATGTACCAGCACCTCAAGCTGTCCCCTTCTGTGGGAAGGGTGATCTGCTCTCCACCTGACGCCATTAGCTCCGGGCAGCCATATCTAACCCATCACACAGACAGACACGGATACACATGAGGGAGGCTTATCATCTTGGAGGAGTGAATATGGGAGACAGGAGTGGGGAAGATTTTGGCCTCTTTTGCAAAAGGAGTAATCGCACATTCAGTTTGGTACTTCAGTTTCCAACATTGTTGCCTGTGTGAGAACCTGCCTGCTGGAGTCATTCACGAACCCGCTAAGAAAAGCCTAAGCTCTGCTGATGTCTGAGGGGCTTGGAAGAGTGCTGGCGGGGCGGGGGGGGGGGTCTCTCTCTCAGGAAATATTAATGCCATCAGCTAGAAGAAGAAGTTCTGTGTTCTCCAATGCTGAAAGTAGGTTAGGTTTAATACAAAGGCTATTCCTTTTCTTTTCAGAAGGATCAGAAACCATTCCATTCCCTTTTGAGCACAGAACCTCCTAAAGGAATTATGCCTATGGATGAATCATTCTACTTTCTGACTTTTCCTGTTGAAGAGATCCACATAACGCTCCTTTCCTCTTCTCATGCTTCAAGCAGTGATATGGTTCCTTCACACCTCTTTTGGTTATGAAAATTAGCCTCCTTTCCAGTAAAGAAGTGTTAACTGAGTCAAATGCCCATTCTCTACAATTAAGGTACGAAAACAAGGGCACCAAGAATCAAAAAGAATAGGTTTGGTAGAAAAACCACTCTGGTTTGCTTTTGGGGTGTCTTTTCTTGTTTACCCTGAAATATGGCTGAGCTTGAGGGTTTGAGAATCCTTAGTCCCTCACACCAGGTAAGGAAAATAATCATAAAATCCCCTTTCCGAGGAGCCCCAGAACCATCCAACCTCCTGACCTCTGTCACCACCCCCGACTGGTGGTGGCCTTGAGGACCCCTGACCGAGAATGTCAGCCCTCCGAGGAGAACTTGAAAGACCAGGCAGAAGGAGAAGAAAGGCTGCCAGAGAAAGTTGAGTCAGTAAAAGGGGCGGAACTTGGAGGATGCCTCATTTGGCTGGTCAGGGCCCGCAGGAAGGATTTATACGTCATGGAGGCCTGACAGCTGCAACCAAAAGAAAGTCAGGAAGGCTGAGAACATGCAGTGCAGGGTTCCTGAATGTCCTGCCAGGATGTGGCTCGGGAACCTGAGAAGTCCAAGGAAAATGCAGTGACAAACTAGAAAGACTGCTTAAAAGTCCTAGGAGGAGGTGCTAACACTCTTGCAGAAGAAGAAATTTAGAGAGGCTGATATAGTAGCAGAGAGAACAGAGTGGATGGGACTTCTGATGCTAGTTAAAAGGAAAGCCAAGGGCCCTGGGGTCACACCTTCTCCTATGCTTCAGGAAAACATAGAGACTCAGAACATAGACAGTGAAGTTGATAGAGAAGATGCAGGGAGAACAGCTGATTTCTCCACTGAGAGGGAAGTCCAGAGAGCTGAGTAAGTAGAAAATTAAGTAAAACTGGGAATTGTCTTTTCTGGATGACCAGAAAGCACAGATTCCTAAAATCAGAGACCTCTTGAAGGTCACCATTGTCATAGCCTGAGATGTCAACCCCGCCTGAGACTTAGCATTTACCAGACTTTTATCAAACATTTATGACTAGTTTAAAAGCCAGTTACATCCCAGACAAAGAGAAAGAGCAGCTATTCATGCCACCTTTTGGAATAAATGGTTCACTACCTCTCTATCCCAAAGGCAAATTTATATGACTAAGGAGGTGGGGACAGGAGCTGTATGCATAAAGACCGGATCTCCTGATGACCCCATCATCAGAAGTTGGAAATCATAAATAGTCACAAAGAGCTAGCCTGTGTTTTATGCAACCGAACAGATTTGGCAAGTTCACGGCATATTGCCGGTCTTCCCCTTCTCTCTAGACCAACCCTTCCCCTCAAAGTCATAAGCTAGGACCACTCCTCAACACCCGTTCTTACCACTAGAACCAAGATTTCACCTACCATCACTTTCTTAACCCCCTGGCCTCCCTCCCTTCCTACCTCAACACGACCAGCCCATCAGGGCACTGGCCTGCCAATACTCAAACCATTCCTGAAATCTCCCTTGTCATAAAAGAGGTGGACTGCCTCTCTGGCCCAAGCAAACTACCTGCCTTGCTTTCTACCCCTAAGTCAGTTTCTCCTTAACGTTGAGTTTAAACACCTTTCCTATAGACTAATCTGCCTGTATTTGTCGTCAAGCTATTCTATCAGAGAACTCTGAGAAACCCTAGATAGGAGAATGATCATATTTTTTCATGTGCCCCCCCCCCCAGCTTAGGTACCTAGAGCCATTTAATAGCAGCAAGGACATCTTAGGGGCACACCACTTGCATTTGCCGATGAACACACATGAACACACACACATACTCACCTCCACTCCCATTTCCCTACCCCAAACCCTGCCCAGCTGGCCTCTGCCACCATGGCCACCAGCCACAGACATAAGTGAGGAAGCATTCGGGTAGGACTGGGGCTGGGCGTTTGGTGGGAGTTGGGAAAAGAGAGACAATAAGAGTAGGGAATGGTTTCTACCACTGAGATGCAGCAGAAATGAGGCTGGCTATTGCTTGAGAAAGATGTAATGGCCTAAAAGGATAGGCACAGGCTTCCAAAGTAACTAATGTTCCTAAGGCACAGGAACCTGGGAGGGTCTGGCTCCGGAAGGACTGGAGGTACACACGTGGTCCTGTGACTGCCCTGCACACAGTTAACGAAGACAGGTTTTCTGCTCTCGAGAGGCCTAGCGTATACAAGGCATCGTGAGACATCGACCATTAGGAGAGAGGTTTCTCTGAGTGGTAGTGTCACCTAACTTGTTGTATGAAAGGCTTTCCCCCACCACATTCCTTACAGCTGTGCTGAGGCTCAGGGAACAGGAGAAGCAGTCACCAACCTGCCCCCACAGGGGTGGCAGGAAAAGACAGGAGGGGCAGGAGGGAGGGGGAAAGTGGGAGGGCTCTCAGGGAACAAGGAAGGGGAAGAAAGAGGCAAGCCCAAGGAAGCAGCCAGAGAGAGAAAGGGGCAAGTCAGCAGGAGAGCTCTTCCTATTGACAGGTTGCCTTTTGATTTTTCTCCATTAGGTAGGTAAATGGGTACAATCATTATATTTCTCCCAAAGTGATAAAAGGTGAAGCTTTGGCTCGCAGAGATTTTAATGCCCATATGGTTCAAAGATGCATGCCTGTTCCCGTCTGCACCATATAAAGGGAAGCCAAGGCTGTCCCTAAAACGGCCTTGGGAGCAGAAATCCGACAAACCAGGAACAATACCCACAATTCAAAGGGATATGGTTTTGACGTTTGAAAGCAGCGTGGCGCCCAGCCCACAGGCAGTGGTATGGCCACGCATAGCTGCCTGTTTATAGCCGGCATCCGTTCTGAGTGGTTGGCGTCCATCCTGTACCAGTTGTTCAATAGTCTGAAAATCATCTGTGTATTAAAATAGGTGTGGTTCTGGGGATGGGGAAATGTTCAAGAAATGCAGGGTTCCTTCAATTTCAAAGGTCCTCAGAGTAAGACTAGACTACACGGATATATTTTAAGAGTCCAAGGAATGCGAAATTCAATAAAGTTTTGTCACCAACTCTTCACCTATAAAAGGAGAGCAACCCGTGGGAACATCCCACTGTACAAAGGTTTTCCGGGACGGAAAACGGATGTGATCCAATTCCCTGGGTACTGACACACTTGTCACGTTCTGTTCACAAAAGAAGGGAAGACCTAGACACACTGGAGCCCAAACCCTTGATACTCATCACAACGGAGAAGAGAAGAGAAAAACTATAAATACAGTTTTCAACCAAATACCAAAATTGATTTCACCACTTACAGTTCATTTCCCAGTGTGGCTTTTTACATCTGAGAGCCAAAACATTTGTCAACCAAAAGAAACTCACGATGATGGAGAAACCACATGGCTGAAGGTGGTTTTGGTCCATTGAGTTGATGATGGTTCGCTACTAAGGCAGCTAAGGAGACATTACGTAAGCACTTGGATCTCTCCTGGAGTGGAATCAGAATGTATCCTCAAGAGACAGCAGCAAAACGTGGATGTTTCCACAACATGGCCAATAAAAACACCTTATCTCCCTTTCTACTCACAAACAACTATTATCAAACCTTTCCCAGATGTCTAGAAAGCAGATACTATGACAAATCTTCGGGCCAGGAAGCCCTTCCTGGTGTCTAAACCAACTCCTTCTGTAGCAACTGAAGTTCATTCTCTTAGCCCATCCTCAGTGAAACCAAGAGAAGCTGCTCATCCGCACTGATCATTACTGATTTTCCCCCGAGCTTTTTCCTGTCTGAGCTACGCAACTCCAGGGTCCCTCGTGGCCCTGTCCTCATCCAAGGTTCTTGCCAAGTTACGCGGGCTGCTATGCTAGCGAGCGATACAGACGCGCCTGGGGCAGAGGCATCTTCTGGCCGCGGTGGTGGGCCCTGCCAATGCCCAGGTCCCTGACCTCCTAGTGGCAGACCCTCCTGACAGCCTCTGGGTCTGATCAGCCTCCCCCAGAGGAGGCATCAAACCAAGGCCTGCCTCGGCGCCTGCAGGTTCTCCGGGACTGGAGAGTCTTCCCTTTTCTCTCTGCTCTCCTCCTACTCCCCCGCCCCATCCTTTAGGAAGAGGGAGCTCACTGAAGGAATCGTCGGTGGCAGAATGGATCCATATGGCTCTGCACGCCAGCAGAGAGTTTCAGAGAAAATGTCTGGAAGATGGGAAGCTGGGTCTTCACGGGTGGCAGTTCTGAAGAGAGAGAGAAAAGAAGAAGAGAAGTACCAACACGAGGTGGTCTTCTGCTTCCACGTGCACATCTGGTGACTGGCTGCTGGTATGGGGATGGCTGGCTGCCCTCCAATGCACAGCACGGATAACTGAATGCTTCGGCATGGCTTTGACATGACCGTGGACAGGGCCAGACTTGGTCTTGCTTTTTCTCTGAGAGACTCAACATCCTCTCTGTAACCAGAACTTCCCTGAGGCACCTCACGGCCCAAATCTTCCTTCCCAGCAAAGACTTTTAGTTGAAGAGACTGAATAAAAGTGTTACAATTAGACAAAAAGGGAACACATGATTCATTCCTGCTTTTAACACAATACTTTGAAGATGTCACCACAATTTGGATCTGGCTATATTTTAAGTTCATTTACAAGTAGACTAGTTCTCGACTAAAAATAACCATGTGCGTTATACATTTCGACAGCTGCCTGGATTTTCCTCTGAAGGAAACAAGATTCTTTATTTCACTCACATTCAGCACAGACTTATTTTAACCCATTCGATGAAGAAAGAGCCTACCAATACCACCCACCGGTGGCTGCGACTTTTCAAAGAACTTAGTACTTCAGCTTCTCCTCAGAACATTCTTGTAAGTGAGGCAGTTAGTCATTGTCATCCCCATTTTACTGCTGAATAAACTGAGTCCCAGAAACAACAGCCTGCCAGGTTATACACGGAGTGATGCCTAGACCAGGTCCCCTAAATCCTAGCCTACTGCTTTTATTTTTTCCTTAACTAGAAAAGTTGCCTTTCATACAGACCTAAGATTTTGCCTTTAGTTAACTGACTTCTTAAATTAAAATGGTGTTTGGACTAAATTATTCAAGTGATTTGGGACATAGCCTACCTCAGTGAAGGCAAAGATGCCTCAAGTCCTTCCATTTTCTTCAGTAAGCTGATGAAAATTGATCTGTCTATTGGCAAATGATATACAGAATTTCGTTTCCCAAATAAGAAAACTGTGATAATATTTCAAAATCTTTTCTTGGCAATAATTCTCATTATGGAATGAGTTAAACGTCTGTATCAATACTATCGACACTCTCTGCACATTTTAGCCACTTTCCAGTTTGTGCAGTTACAGTAACCAGGGAGATTTTGAAATGGGAACTTTGAATGGTTATTTTTTTCTTTCTTTTCTTTTTCTTTTTTTTGAGTGAGAGCGAGCACATGCACGAGTTGGGGGAGGGGCAAAGGGAGAGGGAGAGAGAGAATCTTAAACAGGCTCTCGGCCCAGTGCAGAGCCCGACCTCATGACCCTGAGATCATGACCTGAGCTGAAACCGAGAGTCGGACACTTTAACCGACTGAGCCACCCAGGCGCCCCTGAAATGGGAACTTTTAGAAAGAGGATTAAGGTGACTAAATAAATAAAGCAAATTTACATCCCCAAATAATCCCCTCCTCACTTCGGGGCTGTGTAAATGGGCAGCTCCAAAGAGCACATCTGTTCAAATAGTGAGAAAACATGTTTCCTTTTCCTAGGCTTCTAGCAAGTCTTGTGGGGTTAGCAGCAGTCCCAGAAGTGATATTTTTTAGACAATTCAATTTTGCAACTAAGATATATTTCACTTTCAACATAATTGTTATTTTTAAAAGCCAGAAATAAATAAAAACCAACAATTATAGTTCTCTTTACCTCTTTTCCTTTGTATTTCCAGAGTTCATACTGAGAGCTTTCCAGACTGTAGTTTTAGGCATTTCGTCAGATATATTAATCTCAGAGGGGTCACATCTGAAATCAATGTATAGGACAGTAAATGTAGGACATACAAATATAAGACATATCTCAGTCTGTCACGATTACCACGCCACCGGATGGGAGAGAGTAGGTCTGACGGAGCTCAGCTGACAGCTCTCAGCAGCACCAGGAGCGAGGTGGTTGGAATGTAGAGGGGCAAGGTGGCCCACTTGGTGCCGCTGAGGACTGGGCTAGGGTGCCAAGTGGAGGGCAGCTCTGCCCCCACAATCATGCCCTCCTTCAAAGGGCCCCTCTGGGGGTGCTGAGGACAACTTCAGGAGCTACCACCTACTGAATGTTCGCTGGTGCCAGGCTCGCCAGGTGCCCGGCATGGTCCTAACAAGCATTCCTCATACGCTTTCTCTCTTACGTGGCCTAAAGTTTTCCATTTGTAGTTTACAAAGGATTCTTACAATCTATGATCTTAACTATCAGATCAGAAATTATTCACATCCTCATTGTGAAAGCACAGGAACCAAAGCTCCCGGAGCTAAGTGATCATCCAAGGTCAAACGTCAGTAAGTGGAGAGTCAAGGCCTTGAATCCAGCCCTTGGTCTCCTAGCACCCTGGAGGACTGGGAAATTTTCTACAGACTGGACAGCAGTATCACTTTAAAAGGCCAGAAGAGGAGGCAGCATCCCAGTAGAGAGGGAACATTGCTCCTACTTTGCTGCCAGAGAATTCAAAGTCTATGGCGACTTCCTTCACAACTTGTAGAAAGCTTATTAAGGTCCAAAGATTCCGTTTCTTTGGGGTCAGTCACACACACAAAGTCAAACTCATAGGAACAGACAGTAGAATGGTGGTTACCAGAGGCTGGGGAGTGGAGGAAAAGGGAAGATGTGGATCAAAGGGTACAAACTTGTAGTTATAAGATGATCACTGACAGAAATAAGGAATTTGGGAGACCCCAGGTTAGTTCTCCCTTGGCTCCTAGGACCCCAGATGCCATGAGTCACAGCGGAGGGGCTGCCTTTGCCCCTCACCGAAGGCTGGCCAAACATGTGAATTTCACGCCCCCCCCCCCAAGCTGAGAACTCTCTGGAAACAAAAGCCATATCCTATTCATCTCTGGAAAATGGCAAGAGAAAGGAGAGGGAGCAGTGACCTGAAGAATGCAAAGACTAGGGTTTGACTCTTAAACTTGCTGCTTAGCAGTGTTGTGACCTTGGGCAAATTACCCCAAACCCTCCAAGCCTCAGTTTCCTCATTGTACAAACATGGATAACGAGGCTTACATCAGAGAATTGTTGTAAAGATTAAAGGAGAATACGTAAGTCAAGCTTCTAGCACATTCCTAACACGGAGAAGGTGCTCAGTACATGGGCTCCCTTACCTCTGTTCTGGTGACTCCCAGCACCTGGTGTGATGCCTGGCACATAGCAGGTGCTCAGGAAACCATGAAAGGAACAGCTACTTTCCCAGGTTGGCGCTGGGAGGCTGAACTTTAGCTCTTTATACCAGCAACTGCATGTGTGACCACCCCCATCACAACGCCACGTGTTTACAGAATAACCAAAACAGTGATCTCCCTGGTGTTTGGGGAGTTTTTTTACCTGAAACTGTTGTTCTTTCCAGGACTACTTAGTAACTTCCTGCTCTCTAAGGGGAATTTGTCTCCCCCCATTTCTAACATTTTCTCAGCCTCCTGCAAGAGAAGAAGACATTATTCTATCTTAGACCAAGTAAGACCAGGAGTCTACACCACCCATATTTCTCTCACCACAATTTCTACCTAATTTCTCTCACATTTATTTTGAAAGAGTATACTTATGTTCTTTCATAGATTTGGCTCATCACCAAAAAAGACACAACCAGATCTTTGTACCTATGGAATAGTATTTTTTTAAAAGAAGAAAGAAAATGAATCTGAATAAGCCTCTAGAGCCTGCTACCAGGTTATTAGAAATATAGGGGACAGAAGAACGTGCTGTTAAATGACACCAAGGGACACAGTAAAATCTAAATGGTGGAAAATCCTACAGGTCACAAACCTAGTTTCTTCAACAAAAAGAAAAAAAAAAAGATACAAAGGGCCCCCTAAAGAGATTTAGGAAACATATCAACCATTGTAATATATAGGTCTTATATGGATCCTGATTCAAATAGATTGTTAAAAAAACAATACGGCAATTGGGGAAATATGAATACTGACTGTTCTTTCTACCTTTGGGTATGTTTGAATATTCCATAACAAAATGTTTTTTTAAAAAAAATAATCCCATCAATTTAAAGAAAACCATTACAGAGGAAAAAATATGTACAAAGATGTTTAAAGTAGTATGATTAGTAGTAAGTCCTAAAACAACTATAAATTTTAACAAAGGAAGAAAGTTTAAAATAATTATGAGAAAAAATTATAGAATATTATGCAGTCATTAAAATAATAAATATGATTGTTGTTTATATAGACATATAGAAACATGAAAGTGTCTTATGAAATCAAGTTGAGGGGGAAAATAAAAAAAAATTACCTTCCCCCCAAATAAACAATTATTACAGTTACATGAAAACTATGTTAAGGACTTAGGGGCGCCTGGGTGGCTCAGTGGTTAAGCATCTGCCTTCGGCTCAGATCACGGTCCCAGGGTCCTGGGATCAAGCCCCGCATCGGGCTCCCTGCTCAGCGGGAAGCCTGCTTCTCCCTCTCCCACTCCCCCTCTTGTTGGGGGGAGCTGTGTTCCCTCTCTCGCTGTGTCTCTCTCTGTCAAATAAATAAAATCTTTAAAAAAAGGAAAAAGAAAAATAATAAAAAGAAAAGAAAAGAAAACTATGTTAAGAACTTGCAGAGAACATAAAATAATGAACATAAATATTGGATGCTGATATGAAATTTTGGGGTGAAGTCTTCATCATTTTTCTTTCATTTAGTTTTCAAAATGACTTTATGAAGTAAAACATGTATTAACAAATACGTGTTTACTTTAGACATTTTGGAAGATAAGGAGTATAATGTTTACTGCCCACCCCAAAATTAACATCCAAAAGAGATGCTTTGATTCTCCTCCCCAAACTGCTTAATAAACAGCACAACCACTCATCCAACTGTTCACTCCAAAAATCTAAGACTTGTCCTTGATTCTTCTCTTTCACCCATGCTCACTACACGTTAGCAAAACCTGTCAGCTCTCTCTTCAAAGGCAGTCCCCAAGCCAGCCGCTTCAGCACCTCTCCCTTAGCCTCACCACCTTCGCCTCTTGCCTGAGCCATTACCACAGACTTCTAGCTAGTCTCCCGCTACCTCTCTTCCCTCCAGGCTCTTTGGTTTTCTCATGTTCTTTAACCACACCAAGCTCATTCCTGCTTCAGAACCTTTGCATTTGCTGTCCCCCTGGCCTGGAATGTTCCTACTCCCAGATATTCTCACAACTTGCCCTCACTTTATTCAGATTTCAGATGAGATGTCTCCTTACAGTCATCCCTGATCACCCTAAATAAAGTAACTCCCTCACTCATGTTCTTCTTCAAACATATCACTACCTAAAATTTTATATAAATCAGTAAATAAATGTATGTATGTATGTATGTATGTACATAAAGGCATACCTCAAGATATTATGGGTTTGGTTCCAGACTACTACAATAAAGCAAGTCAAATGAATTTTGTGGCTTCCCAGTGCATATAAAAGTTATGTTTATACTATACTGTAGTCTATTTGGTGTCTAAAAACAACGTACATGCCTTAATTAAAACATACTTTATTGCTAGAAAATGCTAATCATCACCTGAACCTTCAATGAATCATAAACTCTAATCACAAATCAGCATAACAAATATAATAATAATGAAAAAGCTCAAAATATTGCAAGAATTGCCAAAGGATGACACAGAGACACAAAGCAAGCGGTTGCTGCTGGGAAAAGGGTGCTGACAGATTCACTTGACACAAGGGTGCCACAAACCTTCACTTTGTAAAGAACATAATATTTATGAAGTGCAATAAAGTGAAGCACAATAAAATGAGGTATGCCTCTGTGTGTCCACGCGTGTGCACGCATGTGTATATATAATTTTTAAATTTTGTTTATAGAGTTTTGGGACACTTGAAAGCTTCACATTTTATGTAGTGATTTCTATCAATCTTTTTTTTTTAAGATTTTATTTATTAGAAAGAGAGAGAGCATGAGAGTGGGGAGGGTCAGAGGGAGAAGCAGACTCCCCGCCGAGCATGGAGCCCGATGTGGGACTTGATCCCGAGACTCCAGGATCATGACCTGAGCTGAAGGCAGTTGTCTAACCAGCTGAGCCCCCCAGGCGCCCCTCTACCAATCTTCTATTTAAAGTTTTCCTCCATTGCTTCTGTGCTTATAATTGTTAAAATTCATTTAATAATAGAAAACAGACACATGTAATAGACTTGGGAGCCCAGAAATATGCCCAAGCATATATGGTCAACTGATATTCGACAAGGGAGCCAAGAATATTCAGTGGAGAAAGGATAGTCTCTTCAATAAATGTCGCTGGGAAAACTGGGTATTCATGAGCAAAAGAATGAAAGTGGATCTCCATCTTACACCATTCATAAAAATCACCCCAAAACGTTATTAAAGACTTAAATGTAAAACCTGAAACACTAAAACTCCTAGAAGAAAATAGAGGGAAAAAGTCCTTTGACATTGTTCTTGGCAATGATTTTGTGGATATGACACCAAAAGCACAAGCAACAAAAGCAAAAATAAACAAGTGGACCAATATCAAACTAAAAAGCTTCTGTGCAGCAAAAGAAATGAGCAACAAAATGAAAAGGGAAACCATGGAATGGGAGGAAACATCTGCAAACCACATTTCTGGTAAGGAGTTAATATCCAAAATATACAAGAGATCCATACAACTCAATGGCAATAATAATAATAGTAATAATAATAATAATAATAATAATCCAATTTAAAAATAGCCATTTTTCCAAAGAAGATATACAAAAGGCCGGAAAGTACATGAAAAGGTGTTCTACATCACTAATAATAAGTGAAATTAAAAAAAACCCCACAATGATATAACACCCCACACCTGTCAGAGTGGCTATTACCAAAAAGAGAAGAGGTAAGTACTGGCGAGGACGTGGAGAAAGGGGAACCCTCTTGTACTGTTGGTAGGAATGCAAGCTGGTGCAGCCACCCTGGAAAACAGCATGGAGGCTCCTCAAAAAGTTAAAAATAGAACTACTGTAAGATCCAGCATTTGCACTACTGGGTATATATCTAACGGAAATGAAATTACTACCTCAAAGAGATCTCTATATCCCCATGTTCACTGCAGCATTAATTACAACAGCTAAGACATGGAAACAACCTAAGTTGTTTAGGTTGGATCCATTAGTGGATGGATGGACAAAGAAAAGGTAATATATATTGTGTATATATATACACAATTGAATATCATTCGGCCATAAAAAAGAAAGAAATCCAAGGCGCCTGGGTGGCTCAGTCGTTAAGCGTCTGCCTTCGGCTCAGGTCATGATCCCAGGGTCTGGGGATCGAGCCCCACATCGGGCTCCCTGCTCGGCGGGAAGCCTGCTTCTCCCTCTCCCACTCCCCCTGCTTGTGTTCCCTCTCTCGCTGTGTCTCTCTGTCAGATAAATAAATAAAATCTCAAAAAAAAAAAAAAGAAGGAAATCCTGCCATTTGCAGCAACATGAATGAAACTTGAGGGCATTATGCTAAGTGAAATAAGTCAGACAGAGAAAGACAAATACTATATGATCTCACTTATTTGTGGAACCTGAAAAAAAACCTGAAGTCACAGAAACAGAGAACAGATGCGGTTGCTGGGGGTGGGGGAAATGGGTGAAGGTGGTCAAAGGGTACAAGCTTCCAGTTATAAGATGCATAAGTCCTGGGGATGGAATGCACAGCATGGTGACCAGAGGTAACAATGCTGTATTGTATATTTGAAAGTTGCTGAGAGAGTAATTTTAAAAGTTCTCACCACAAAAAAAAGGGACTATGTGAGGTGATGAATGTGTTAACAAACCCTATTGTGGTGATCATTTCACAATAGATACATACAGTGAATCATTATGTTGTATACAGTGTTATATGTCAATTATATCTCAGTAGAGCTGGGAAAGAAATAATACAAGATTTTAAAAATTCAAGATATTAGAGGAAAATGTTATTTAAAATGCATTTCAAAGGACACTATTTCAGGCACTAACTGTATTTGGAAACACTTTCTGGCTCATTCATTTCTTGGTCTGATATTTTCATCTGTTACACATCCATTCTTGGCATGTATAGACCATTGATTGAGGATCCATTGTGTGGACAGCAGATGCCAAGTGCTGAGGGAAATGAGGAAAGACAGAAAGTCCTATGCAAGTTATCTGTGCACGGTGCCAACCACGACACCATCTGCAATTAGGTACATAACAAATAATAGGTTTTGTATAGTTGTTAAATTAGGACTTTTGGGAGAACACGAACCATGAGATCTGATAATAAGAGCAGAATCTATGTTCATATTCTAAGTATGAACCTGGTGAGGAGACTGGAGACAAACGAAGGGGAAGAAAACTGATTATTGGGACCAAAAATAAAGGACAGATAAGGACAAGAATCCTTCATCCATTCTCAGCTAAGAACATCTTTGGAGTAATCTTCCCAGCTCCTAAATAAACCCTTGGGATTCCAGACATGCTGCCTTCTCATGTGGCCCTTCCTTTGTTCTGTAATTTGAGGCTGCCCCGAAGTGTACAGTTGGTGCAAGAGCCATGACCTCTTCCTCCTTGGCCTTCTTTTTGGCATCATCCAACTTCTTCTTTTTACTTTCAGGCATGAGATCATCTAACCAGCTCAGCTCTCGTTTAGAGAAACAGAGATCCATGACTTTCCTGACGAAGACCAATGCCAAAACCTGAAGAAAAATAAAGAAAGGGAATTAAAGGAGTTCATTTCCTTCCTGGAGTTAAACACTACGGCATTTCAAGGAAAAGCAAACTCATAGTAATCATAATAGTTGCCTATTATGGAGTGCCCTCTTTGTACCAGATACTAAGGCGAGTGTTTTCTATGTAGTATTTTATTTAACTATCATCATAACAACCCTACAACTTAGAGAGCACCCAATTTAATGTCCTCATTGAAAAGAGACACCCCTCATCCTCAGAGGGCCTGAAGAGTTGCCTTTTCCTGTGGTGGGACCTGCAGGAAAGGCTGCAGGGCAGTCCTGGGGGAGAGAGCATTTGCCAGAACACAGCTATGGCTGACGCCAGCCACGCCCAGCCCACGCATGCCTCACCATGGCAGGAAGGGACTCTGAAGGACCGTCACAATCCCCTCTGATCCTTTGCCTTGACATTTCCCCACAAAATCCTTGCTTCATGCCTGCATCATGAATCGCTAGTGTTTTGTGTCTCTGCCCTCAGGACTTGCCTGACATTCCTTTTGCAAATGAGGAAACCGAGGCCCAGGGAGAGAAAGTAACTTGCCTAAAATCCGACAGCTAATTTCCTCAACTGTCCATAGGACAGGGTGCCTCAACTGCTCCTCCACCTTTTTCCCATAAAAGGCCTTTTTTGCCAAAGGGGAATTAATAATAACCCAGAATGACCGGCCTGGAGTGACTGGTGTTCACCAGCTACATCAGGTGGCTGGACAGGAATGAGGCAAATCAGGCTTCTTACGTTCACGTTTCTCCCTTGTGTCCACAACTACTCTCTCAATGAAGCCAACATCAATAGTATCCCTTCCAAGGGGTTGTCAGGCATTTGCTGTTTCTTTAACCAAACAGTCAACCCCTGAATATAACATCCCAATGCAGAAACCTACATGAACTCTGACAAAATTGAGAGACCCATCAGGAGGTACATATGTAGGAGACGAGGGGAGAAGAACCCCCCCGACCCCCGTTTTCCTCACCCTTGAATATTCTCCCAGTAAGAGTTCAGAAGTCCCCAAACAAGCACCAAACATTACCCCTATTGCCCTTTCTCTCTAGAGGCTCACCCTTTGGGTCATTTTCAAACAGCCCACAGAATGCTCCGCAGCCTCATGGCCCAGGGTAAGCCAGAGAGGGGAAGGTAACAAGAGGAAATGAGACCGTGAGGACGTCAGGTGGCAAGGATTTCCTCCGCACCCTAGTGGCAGGGAATGGCTTGCCGTCTGTGGTACCACACACAGTTCAGCTTCCCTAGTCCCTTTCCCAAAGCCTCTGCTTCAGTTCGGGAGGAGGTAAGGCTGTCCCAATCACTTCTCAGTGCTGGGCCAACTTCTTCCTAAATTCCAGTGGCTTAAAACAGTGCATTTCCACCACTTCAGGCACTTCTGATTGCAATGAATTCTAAACTGGAACTATGTTGCTCTGAAGTAACAGGCAAATTATCGAATTATTGCAAACATGAAGAACCCTCTCCATGTGAGAGTGATGAGAGACAGAGAAGAGAAAGGGAGGGACGGAGGGAGACAGACCGATGGGCCTGAAAGTAAAGATGGCAAGCTGCCTCACACGTGTGTCACACCTCAAGGTCCCAAAATAATGCTGCTCCTGCAAAAGCCAACCAGAAAACTCGCCACCAATAAGGGATTAATATCCAGAATAGATAGAGAACTCCTAGAACAACAACAAAAAAACAATCTGATTAAAAAATGGGCAAAGGACTTGAATAGACTTGTCTCCAGAGAAGATATACAAGTAGTCAATAAGCACATGAAACGGTGACATGAAACGGCGCCTGGGTGGCTCAGTCGTTAAGCGTCTGCCTTCGGCTCAGGTCATGATCCCAGGGTCCTGGGATCGAGCCCCACATCGGGCTCCCTGCTCCGCGGGAAGCCTGCTTCTCCCTCTCCCACTCCCCCTGCTTGTGTTCCCTCTCTCGCTGTGTTTCTGTCAAATAAATAAATAAAATCTTAAAAAAAAAAAAAGCACATGAAAAGGGGCTCAACCTCACTAGTCATTAGGGAAATGCAAATCGAAACCACAATGAGATAGCACTTCACACACATTAGGATGGCTGATATCCAAAAAACAAAACTAAAACCCCCAAAGCAGAAAGTAAGTGTTGGCAAAGATGTGGACCAACTGGAACCCCATGTACTTATAAAATCGTGCAGCCGTTCCTCAAAAAATTAAAAATGGAATCACCATATGATCCAGGAATCCACTTTTAGGTATATACCACAAAGAACTGAAAGTGGGAACACAAACAGATATTTGTACAATTCACATTTATAGCAGCATTATTCACAATAGCGAAAAAGTGGGAGCAATCCAAGTGTCTATCAATGAATGTACAGATAACCAAAAGGCGGTGTATATATATATATATATATATATATATATATACACACACAAATATACACACATATACACACACTCACAGAGGAATATTATTCAGCCTTTCACAAGGAAATTCTGACACATGTTACAACATGGAAGAACCCCTTGAAGACATTATGCTAATAAGTAAAATAAGCCAGATACAAAAACACAAATACTTTATGATTCCAGTCACATGAGGCACCTAAAGTAGTCAAGTTCATGGAGACCGAAAGTAGAATAGTGGTTGCTAGGGGTGGGGGGGGAGGGGGAATGGGGAGTCATTGTTTAATGGGTACAGAGTTTCAGTTTTGCAAGATAAAATAGTTCTGGAAATGTATGGTGGCAATAGTTGTACCACAACGTAAATGTACTTAAGGCCACTGAACTGTACCCTTACAAATGGTTAAGATGATATGTTTCATGTTGTGTATATTTCATCACGATTTTTTAAAATAAATAATAACGTTGTTAAACTCACCATCATTGGAAAGACAATGGCAGCTGGAGATGCCTTAATGACCCAGAGCAGGACCAGGCAGGTGAGCTGGATGAGGGTGAAGAGGTGCACTTTGCGCAGGGGCACGTGTCGAAGGTAGATAAAATCTGGCTGGTGCTTTGCAGGCATCCCAAAGAGCTTCAGACGGTCAAAGAACTGAAAGGAGGGAACTGGCATTTATTTTCAGGAGGTTTCTTTGAGTCAGAAGCCTTGTGAGGCCCATTCATGTCTCTTATATCACCTGCTTTGAAAGGTTACCTACCACCGGACAAAAATGGAAACTGAGTCTCAGAGAGTATAGGTAATTTGGCTGAGGGTGGGATGTGACAGAGTCAAAATTTAAATCCATCTCTTTTTTAAAGATTTTATTTATTTGAGAGAGAGAAAAACAGAGACAGAGCGAGCACAAGCAGAGGGAAGTGACAGGCAGAGGGAGAGGGAGAAGCAGACTTCCCGCGGAGCAGGGAGCCCGATGCGGGGCTCAATCCCAGGACCCTGGGATCACGACCTAAGCCGAAGGCAGACGCTTAACCAACTGAGCCACCGAGGTGCTCCTCTTTTCTTTTTTTTTTTTTTAAGTTTTTTTTTTTTTTTAAGTAATCTCTATACCTAGCACGGGGGTTGAATTCACAACTCTGAGACCAAGAGTCACATGCTCTATAATACTGAGCCAGCCAGGTGTCCCTAAATCCATCTTTTCTAATTCTAGGTTAAAATTTCTTTCTTCTATCCCACACTGGATCCTGACAGATCTTTCTCAGGGAGCGTTGAAAATAAAATAAGCCAGTTCCATCTTTCTGCTTATTATCAAAACCAAATGTCTTACTTGTTCTTTGAGGAATTTGAAGGTTTTCATTGATTATTTATAATAAAAAGATAAAAAAACCTTCATAACATTCTGGATATAGAACATATGACCATCCTTATATTATAAAAAGGAAAACAGGGGCACCTGCATGGCTCAGCCAGTGAAGCGTCTGCCTTCTGCTCAGGTCATGATCCCCGGGTCCTAGAATGGAGCCCCATGTCAGGATTCCTGCTCAGCAGGAAGTCTGCTTCTCCCTCTCCCTCTGCCTCTCCCCTACATTTGTGCTCTCTCTCTCTTTCACTCCCTCTCTCTCTCAGATAAAGAAATAAAAACCTCTATAAATAAATAAATTAATTAAATTAAAAATGAATAAAAAGGAAAACAGAGACCCAGAGGGATTCAATAACCTGCCCAAGGTCACATTAAAACTCAGTGGGTAAGAATGACTGTTGGACATTCCATAAAAACAAAGAGGAACCAGCCACCAATAGAAGAAACTAAGTTATCGAATCTTCTGGGGTGCCCACGTTATCTGTGGCCAGCTCCTGACTTTCTACGTTCAAATGATTCAGAGGAATGAGTTGACAGATGGGCAAAGACAGAGCATGACAGGATGTGGTACCCGCTTACCTGGAGCAGCCCCCACTGCTACCAGTCCCGTCTCCCTCGCTCACACTGCAGCCCCGGCCCGACAACTAGCGCCATCCATGCGTGGAAGCCTAATATCTGTCTGTTAAATAGCTAACGAATGACTGGCACCATGAATGACATCAAGCCAGGCCATCCTGAAAGTCTCTGTACCCTTATGCCAACTTGACTGTCCAAATGACTTGCCCAATGCCCAAAGAAACGTCTAAAACAGCTTTAACTGGCAAGCCTAGGAAAGGGGTTCTCAGGAACGGGTTTGTGTGTCCCTGGGAGAGCCCTCCCTCCCCAGTCAGGATGGATGAGCTCGCAGTGCGAAGCCGTTGCCCTAGCTGAACCACGCAATACCTGAATTCCTTGTAGTGAGGAAACTCCCATGTAGAGGAAAACTCCATAGAGTACTGGCATTGGGATAAACTGAAGACAAAAGGGCAAAAAGACCAGAAATTAAATTAGGTATCATAAACTTTTAAATCTCCAAGAAGGAAACAAAGTTCCCAAACCACTGCATAAACATTGCATTAGTTTCTGCTACCTTTGCATGATTTAGAAGGAGAAGCAAAATCAGAAGCATTGACAATGATAAAAAAAAAAAATCATTTTGTTCTGAGATGAAATGATTACACATAATAGTAATCCAGTCCTGGTTAAATCATAGGCCTCACATTTTACCCCTACCTGGCTCTTCCACCTCCGTGGGGATGGGCAGACAGACAGACAGACACACACACACACACACACACACACACACACACACACACACACACATCCCTCTTTTACAGAACTGATAACTTTTAAAACTAATTACATAATCAATCATCTCAGGGATTTGGCATGTTTTAACATGGACTAAAAAGTTTACTTTCTGCTAACCAGTGACTTAGAGGCAGGAATAGGGAGGTATCAGAGAGGAAATGATTTGGGGAGAAATATCAACGTCATTAACTGCCCTTGAATATACATACACACCTATCACATTTCATCAGTAATCTTCAGGGCAACTCGATGAGGTAGGGAAATGAGGCCTTTGGAATGAAGGCAAGGGAAGTCTTACAGCTAAAGACTAAACTTGACTTGCTTTTATTCTGAAGCTAAAGAACATTCCCAAACATAATTCCTCTCAGAACTAGAAAAATCCCCACTGGATTTTATGCTGTTTCAACTGTAGCGTGAGTAGACATCTTAGTTTGGTGTTAACCTTGCTTGTAGAACTACAGAATGGCTTCCTGAAAGAAGCCTTCTGAGCCAGTTCTAGGAAGGCCCGGTGATGCCCACAGGCCATGCCTTTGTGGTTACCTTCCTGGACGAGCAGCAACCTTTGGGCTCCTCCAAATGGCAGCTAGACCAGAGGTGGGAGTGGGGACCAGGCTGGGGACAGAGAGTAGAAGGGGGGGAGGGGGCATGAGGAGAGGTGGACTGGGTGGAAAGTAAGGGGCCAGGAAGATGGTTTCAAATCCTTTACCATTTCTCTCAACTGTCACCCTTAAATAGCACTCACAATGCAAGCTGGGGTGGTTGAAGATTCACCAAAAGAAGGAGAAAGGAGGCAAGGGAGCCAAGTAATGGGGCTTGGCGATATAGCCATAGAGCTTTCCTTTTCACCCCATTTTTCCCAGATGCAAGCCTTACACCTACAAAACCAAATATCTTTTTCTCACATTCAAGGTATCTTCCATCTTTCCAAAAATCCTCTTTTAACCCCACATCTCACACCAGCCACTGCCCATTTTCCATTCCATTTCACAGAAAAATCTCTTGAAAGAGCTGTCTGCTCACGATCTCTTTTACTTCTCACCTATTTGCTCTTCACTTCCCTGTAATTCAACTTCAGCCCTATCGTTCCATGGAATCTGTTCTTGTTGAGTCCCGTTAGGCCCCCATGTTGCCAAATCCAATGGCTTGGTTTAGTCTTTATCTTTCTAGACAGATTCTAACCAATCCCTCTTTCTGGAAACATTCCCCTCACGTGGCTTTCCTGATACCACACCCTCCTGGTTTCCCTCCTACCTCTCTGGCAGCTCCTTCTGGGTCTCTGTTGCTATCTCCTCCTCTACCCGACTTCTAAATATTGGAGCTCCTTAGACTCCGCTCTTGCCTCTGGGCCTACTTCTCTTTTATATCTACCCTTCTCCCTGAGTGATCTTATCTACTCCCATGGCTGTACCACTAAGTGCTGTTGACTCCCACATTTATATTTTTAATCCAGAACCTTCCTCTAGCTTCTTCACACAGTTGCCTCCTGGATATCTCACCCAAAATCTGACCATAGCCCCACCACCTCTCACAAAATCACTTCCTCCTTCAAGCAGTCTTCTCCATCTTAAATGTCAGTACTCTCCACCCAGATGGTCAAATCAGAAACCTAGCAGGCATTTTGATTTTTCCATTTTCCACACTCCATTCCACGTCCAGTCAATCAGCAAGACTTTGGGTCTGCCTCCAAGATATACAGAAGTCATGCCTTTTCTCCATCCCTTCCCTACCCAAGTCACCAGCATCTCCTACTTATAATAGCCTCACTAGCAACTCTGCCTCTATTTTTCCCAACCCTAAAAACTTATTCTCTAGACATTGGCCAGAGTGATCTTTAAAAAAATACTAAATGGAGGGGCGCCTGGGTGGCTAGGTCGGTTGAGCGTCTGCCTTCGGCTCGGGTCATGGTCTCTAGGTCCTGGGATCGAGCCCCGCATCAGGCTTCCTGCTCAGCAGGGAGTCTTCTTCTCCCTCTCTCTCTCTCTCCCCCTCTGCCCCTCCCCACTGCTTGTTCTCTCTCTCTCTCAAATAATCTTTAAAAAAATCAGTAAAAATAAAAATATTAAATGGATCATGTCCCTTGCCTGAAAGTTAACCCTTCAAAGATTAACTTTACCAGAGTCAACAAGGCCCTGCATGATCTGCCCCTACGTGCTCTTGCCTTGACACAATACCCTTGAGCCACATGGCCCTCATACTTCTTAGAACACATATCACTCTTTCCCATCTCAGGGCCTGACTAGATTGCTATTCTCCCTTTCCCCATGCTGGCTCCCTCCATCCGTGGCATGGCTGGCTCCATCTCATCTTAAATACCATCTCTGTAGAAGCCTTCTCTGACCACACTAACTAAAACAGCACTCCCTTAATTCTCTAAGGCACCATAGAACACTATATATTTCCTTTCATCATTTTCATATTCTATAATTATCATGTTTGTTTTTTTTTTTTTTTTTTTTGCCCTTCCCTCCCTCCTCCTCTTTCTTTCATTTTTTTTTTTTTTTTTTTTAAGTAGGCTCCATGCCCAGAGTGGAGCCCAACGCGGGGCCTGAATCCAAGATCCCAAGCTGAGATCAAGAGTCAAAAGCTTAACCAACTAAGCCACCCAGGCGCCCCTCTTTTTCTTTTTTTAAGATTTTATTTTTAAGTAATCTCTACACCTATCTCTTTGGTGTATCACTGTATTCCCAGTACCTAACAGAATTCCTGACACAAATCAGGCACTAAATATTTATCTAATGTGTGAATGAATGGTTACCTTTAATATGGCTGTCATGAAGACTGAGCAGCCCATCAGCACAAAGATCATAAGGCCTGTCACTCTCTGTTCTCGGATGCCCAAGAACTTGGGTTGTTCTCCAGGAGCAGAGCACTCAGATTCTAGTTTGAGGCTGTTCACGTGTGTGATGGACAGGACAGTTGCAGCCACAAACCAGGGCAGGCCCATGATGGAGCAGACACCCAGCATGATGGCCACCATCAGCAGGTCCAGGTGGTAACCACAACCTTTCTGTGGGGAAACAGAGTATCTGTCACCACCCGTGGGCTGGCTGTAGTGGGGCATAGAACAGTGAGCTAAGAGTCTCAGTCCCAAAGCAGGAAGGGGTATATGGGTAAGGAAGAAGGGGTCCAGGGATCCCAGACGAGTCTTCCAGCCCGTCCTGGTTTGGAGGGAACAGAGAAGGAGAAAAAAAAAAAAAAAAAGAAAAGAAAAGAACCCTTAGCCTATCCCATACGTGCCATATCCATTTTTTATTCAAGTGCCCTCAGATCTCACCCGGAATCTCATACATTCAAAGATTCATCTTTTCTTGGCCGAGTAACCAGAGGCCAAGCCACATCTTGATCGTCCTAGTGTCTAGATGGTAGACAATACCCGAGTTGGAGATAAATGGCTTCTTACAAACACTCCCAGATCCTTGACAAAATGGATTTGCCTACTCTATATAAGGAAAGAACAGAGATGAAGGCATGAAGCCTCTCACTAGTAAATGTGCTGGAATCAACCCTATCTCCTTAGAATCCTTGGGCTCAAGGTTCAGTCTGGAAACCCCAGTAATGGACACCAGTGGGAGAATATCTGACTCTTGGAAACAGTGGCCCAAGTCCTGAACTGAACCTCAGAAAGATAAGCCTGTGTAGGGACCACAAGGAATTTTGCCCACCCACCTTCCCCACAGGTTTGCAAGGACAGTAATGGAGTACAAGCTCCCTTCATTCACATCATTCCATCATGCTTTACTCTGGTTTCATCTCCAAACCAATCTTTGTCACTAATGGAGGGATTGGAAACCCCTGAAAACCCTTTATGAGCTCCTTCCATGACTGTTTTTAATCCAGGTTCTATCGTTCCTGGTCTAAAAGGGCTTACCTTAAAAAAAAAAAAAAAAAAATAACAGGCTGCCATTTGTCCTTCTAGGTCAGAACTTTTGTTACCTTGAGCTTGTGTTCCTTCCTGTTAATGATGACAGCTGTGATCTGCTGGTCCATGAATATTAAGATAGTGCAGAGAAGAGCTGGGATAATTGCAGCTATCACAGTCCACCAGGGATTGGGGCCAATGGGGCTAATAATCCACCCTCGATCATCCCTTGTTGGCTACAGGGGAAAAAAACAAAGTTTTATTTTTGTATTTTAACTATAGTCATTAGGGCAAAATAGATCAAACTGAATCACAATATCCACATTATTTTTATTCTTAAATGAGAATCCTTTAAAAAAGAAAAAGTCATGTGAGGCGCCTGGGTGGCTCAGTCGGTTAAGCATCTGCCTTCAGTTCAGGTCAGGGTCCCGGGGTCCTTGGATCGAGCCCCACTTTGGGCTCCCTGCTCAGCAGGGAGTCTGCTTCTCCCTCCCCCTCTGCCTGCCGCTCCCCCTGCTCGTGTTCTCTGTCTCACTTGCTTTCTCTTTCTCAAGGAAATAAAATCTTAAAAAAAAAAAAGTCATGAAATAGAGCAACTCCTTAAGAAATCTATGCCCTTATTCCACATTCCCTTTGAGTCGATCCTCGATTATCAACTTCCTGTGAAATATTCATTAATCCTTCACTTCCTTCCCCTACTCTACAAACCCACATACAGAGAAAAAAATTTATCTGAACATTAGCCCAAGTAAAATAACAAAATCTGTTGTCAAAAAAGAATTTTAATACAATTATAATTAAGGCAAATATAAATAATTTTGACTAGCCTCCTCCAGATTTTGGACTGCTCCCCTCCAGAAGCCTATAATGTATGTCTACAGCACAAATAAAAGCAGAGTAGAGCCAGTTGCTTGGAATCTCATGGGCTTAGATTGTATTAGTCCAGGGATGAAAGCATGTGAAACAGGAGCCCAGGTACTAGAGACTTGAGAGAAGAGCCCAAGACTACTGAACTTGGGGCCTTGTTAGGTCTAGGACCCTCTCCAATACCACTGTAAGACCACTACTGTTCATAAATCTTGTCTGAGTGTTAATGACATACCTAAACTCTCCTAGATCCTCAAACCCCCTCCAGGATACTCTGGGGAAGAAAAGCTCCCCTTGTTTGGCAAGTAGTAATGGAAGATAAAAGGCCAGGGATACAAAGTGGCCCAGAATTAACCCAAACTCAATGAACAAAGCAAAGACTGTTACATCCAAAGTAGTTGGGTCCATATTGGTCACAACTCTAGGATTCAAAGACTGATCAATAATGCCAACAAATCCCAAATTATGAATGGGTTAAGTTCTGAAAGTTTATAGAATCCATGTCTCCTTAGGAACAACGTTTTAAGTGATAGTTAAATTCTCAGGTCAACACAAAAATTTACTAAACTCTGACCTACACGGGGCGCCTGGGTGGCTCAGTCGATCAAGCGTCTGCCTTCAGCTCAGGTCACGGTCCCGGGGTCCTGGGATCAAGCTCCCTGCTCAGCAGGGAGTCTGTTTCTCCCTCTCCCCTCTGACCACCACCCCCTGCTAGTGCTCTCACTCCCTCACACTCTCTCGCTCAAATGAGTAAATTTTTTTTAAATCTTAAAAAAAAAAAAAAAAGCTCCAACTGACATTAACACACTAGTAATAGTACCGGCCTTCGGATTGGGTCTTAATCACCAGGGACCATGTGACATAATAGGGAAGGAAAGAAGGAAGAAAATTTCTTCTCTGCTTCCTGAAGGCGAGGCCTGCCAATGAGCAACATTTTCCTTGACATTCTCCCATTTTCCCGTATCCCCCCTCCCACCTCCCAGAGGCCTTCTTCCCAGATGTCCCAGAAATTCAGTACCTTCTGACTATCTTAAGCCTACCCATCAGGGAACCTTTCCAAGGACTACTTAATGTTCTCAAATTACTTATTTTTACACAAAATCCATTCCTCCTGGAGGGTTGACCTCAGCCAGGTATTAGAGAAAAAGCTGACTGCACTCATTCAAACAAAGGTGAAAATGACATATTCTTGGAGGAATTATATTTTTAAAGAGGGTGTTTTTTAATCCACAAATTTCTAACTGATGGCATTGCAGTGCATTTAACAAAATAAAATTAAAATTTTTCAGGCAATATGGAAAAAGATATTTTTAACCAGGCCTATTTCAGGGAGGGAGAGAAAAAGAAAGGGAAGACAAAGGCGCATGGTACAGGGATGTTTATAAGTCAAGGACTGCCTTTCTTCCCATCTTCCTTCTCCTCCCCAGACTCTCCTGCCTTCTCGTTGTAGGATTCTTCTCAGGGCACTGAGGACCCCCAGGCTTTCCCTCCCCTCTGCTCTTGTGGGGCCTGTGGAACCGAGCTCAGCTTCCCATCCTCTGTGTTACTCAGTGCCCCTCAAATGAAACAGATCTAGAGTCCCCCATATGATCATTTGTTTGACTTTTTTGTATATATTTTGGGCAAAAATTTTTTTAAATTTTTTTTATTAACATGTATTATTTGTTTCAGGGGTACAGGTCTGTGATTCATCAGTCTTACACAATTCAAAGCGCTCACCACAGTACCTACCCTCCCTAATGTCCATCACCCAGCCACCCCATCCCTTCGTCTCCCCTCCACTCCAACAACCCTCAGTTTGTTTCCTGAGATTAAGAGTCTCTTATGGTTCGTCTCCCTCTCTGGTTTTGTCTTGTTTCATTTTCCCCTGCTTTCCCCTATGATCCTCTGTCTTGTTTCTCAAATTCCTCATGTTAGTGAGATCATATGATACTTGTCTTTCTCTGATTGACCTATTTCACTTAGCATAACACCGTCTAGTTCTATCCACGTCATTGCAAATGGCAAGATTTCATTTTTTGATGGCTGCGTAATATTCCATTGTGTATATATACCACATCTTCTTTAGCCATTCATCTGTTGATGGACATCTAGGCTCTTTCCATAGTTTGGCTATTGTGGACATCGCTGCTATAAACATTGGGGTGCATGTGCCCCTTCAGATCACTACATTTGTATCTTTGGGGTAAATGTATTTTGGGCAATATATTAACAGATTATAGAGAGTTACACAAAGAAACAATGAAATAGGGCTGAAGAGCTGTCCTGATTACTCTGGCAGGAACGCTACACTGTGGGTAAAGCCCCCTGGCCCACTCACCTCTTCACATGGCAAGATCCTTGAGGACAGGGGCCAAGTCCTAATCCAGCTTCTTCATCCCTTCTGGTGCCCTTAGAGAGTTGATGCTCCATGAAAGAGCTGTTAACCATACTTGTTCCAGGGACCCCACATTTCCACCAAATGTGGTATGTATTTAAGTAAACATGGGCATTCCATTGTTTTAAATTGTAACTTTTCATTCATTAAACCACTTTAGGGTCCTGTTCTCGGACTTTTCGGGCTTGAATTCAGCCAAGCCTGAAGAGTTTGCTCTTCTAAAAGGTAAGGAATGAGGAGCAAAGTGCAGATGGAGGGCACTGCAGAACACAGGATTCGGGTATGCTAAGGCCTTTGAGATTAACTTGGGGGCAGATTCTAGGAAACCACGTGAGGGCACCATGTGCCCTGAAAGTTGTTTACCTTGAACACACTGGGAACTTGAAGTTTTGGTGATGGGACTCCAATCAAAAAGTCAATGATCACCATTGTGAAGATAGTGAGGAAGACAGCAAAGTCACTCACCATGGAGCGTACCTGGCATGAGAAAGGATTGGAAAAGTGTTTTATTAGGTTAAATGCAGTAGAAAAGAATTTAGTATTATAAAAGTTTTAAAAGTCCTCAGAAGCATGCTTTCATTTTATAATTGAATTAATATAAGCATATTTCAACAACAGGAATATGTTAACATGCCCAAGTTAATACCCCAAAAGTGTGGATATGATGGGGGAGAAGGATCTATCCAACAAACTCTCATGTCACCACCCTGAGACTGTGAAGAGTTCTGTTTGGAGCACTCATGCCCAGGTATAGGCAAGAGTTCTGAGAACTTGGAATGAGATTTTCTGGGACCAGCCAAGGTCCATTTGTGCCAGCCAAGAACCTTGGCAGCAGCATCAACTCCTCTTCTCCCTCATGTCCAACACCTCATCTACCTGCACACGAGTCCTGTTGGCTCCACCTTCATAATCCATCCCGGATCTGAGCACCTGTCACCACCTCCACTGTTCCTATCCTGATCAAGTTCACCATCAGCTCTTGTCCTGGTAAGTACAGCAGACCCTTAACCTTGCTCTGCCCTTGGGGAGCCTGGGTGGCTCAGTCAGTTAAGTGGCTGCCTTCGGCTCAGGTCACAATCCCGGAGTCCCGAGATAGAGCCCTGCATCAGGCTCCCCACTCAATGGGGAGTCTGCTTCTTTTTTTTTAAATTTTTTTATTGTTACGTTAATCACCATACATTACATCATTAGTTCTTGATGTAGTGTTCCATGATTCATTGTTTGTGCATAACACCCAGTGCTCCACGCAGAACGCACCCTCCTTAATACCCATCACCAGGCTAACACATCCCCCCACCCCCTCCCCTCTGGGAGTCTGCTTCTTATGCTCTCTCTCTCTCTCTCAAATAAATAAATTTTAAAAAAATAAAAAAATAAAGACCTTGCTCTGACCTTCTTGAAACTTGCCAGACTGGTCATTGAAAACAGAAGTTGGATCAGGTCACTCCTCCATGAAAACCCTGAAATGGTGCCTCATTTCACTGAGGTGAACACCCAAAAGGCCTTGGCCTCTGAGGCCCCCACACTGCAGTCATCACCTCCCTGAACCCAGCTTCTAGGGCTTCTCTGCTCACTCACTCTGCTCCAGCCACACAGACCACTGTCTTGTTTCTTACATGTGCCAAACTCACTCCCACCTCAGGGTCTCTGTGCTTGCTCAGAGACCTGGAATGCTTTCTCTCCAGGTAGCCTCTCGGGTAGTTCCCTCACCCCCTTTATGTTCACGCATGTATCACCTTCTCCTTGAGGTCATCTCTGATGACACCACCCTCCACTCCGGCACCTCCTCTACTCCTTCCCTGCTTCATCTTCTCTATAGCACTTCTCACCATTTTGTGCCCCAGAGGGCTTTATAGTTTAGTGTGGCTTTAATAAAATACAATGCCTCTAAAATGCCCAGTGCCTGCCTTAATCTGAACTTCCAACAGAGATCGAGCAAAATATATCTAAGCCAAAATATATCTTAACCTGACTTTGCTTTCCTTTGAAACCTGAGGTTTCCGGCTCCCTGAACCTGGTTTTATTAGTTTTCTTCTGAATGTTACACAAATTCTCTGCACCTATACCTGCTCCCACCATCATGAGCCATTTTGGGTTCATCTGGGGGGACCAGCCTGGGGTCAGTGGCCCTCTCCCCTCTGAACTTCTATGGCCCTGACACCCAACTCTATACTGCTGTCTTATATGGACCTGTATGCTTCATATGTTTCCCCTTCCTAAATGATAGCAGAAACCATATTCTACACTTCCTTTGGGGTGCCTGGATGGCTCAGTCGGTTAAATGTCTGCCTTTGGCTCAGGTCATGATCCCAGGGTCCTGGGATCGAGCCCCAGGTCAGGCTGCCTGCTCAGCTGGGAGTCTGCTTCTCCCTCTGCCCCTCCCCCTGCTCCTGTGCTCGCTTTTTCTCTCAAATGAATAAATAAAATCTTTAAAAAAAAAAAATAAAAAACTTCTTTTAGGGGCGCCTGGGTGGCTCAGTTGTTAAGTGTCTGCCTTCAGCTCAGGTCATGATCCCAGGGTCCTGGGATCAAGCCCCACATTGGGCTCCCTGCTCAGCGGGAAGCCTGCTTCTCCCTCTCCCACTCCCCCTGTTTGTGTTCCCTCTCTCACTGTGTCTCTCTCTGTCAAATAAATAAATAAAATCTTTAAAAAAATAAAATAAAATAAAAATTAAAAAAAAAAACTTCTTTTATATCCCCACTAGCACTTAACCTAGGCCTGGGCAAATAGCTAGTAGAGAACTGCCACTTATTAACTATTTGTCCAGACCAGAAACAATGACCCGAAACTTATTTGATACGTGTTTCCCTTAACTACCATGTAGTCTCACTGAAATCTAAGAATGTGTTTTAGTCATGCATGTGTGTACTGTAAATATCTAATCAACTGAGCTCCCCACCCATTCGGACTTCCTGCTCTGCAAACGCACCTGATTGAAACCTCAGTTACAGAAAAACCACCATTTCTCCTCATTTGAACCCCCTTTCAAAGCAAAAGTGGTCCCTTTTAGCCACTCTACACCCAGCCTCTAATTCTGCCCTGCTAAAACAGGGCATCTGCCATCTGCATCAGGAAAGATCGTTGAGGCTTCAAACAGTCATGCAAACCAACTCAGGCTGCTGCTGTCAATGTGACCAGTGATTTCACAAGCTGCCACAAGAGCCATCCCTGGGAAGAGACTTTGGGGTCCCCTATGCATCCAAAGTGATCATCCCAATTTACTATATCTAGGAGCCAGCTCTAGCTATTGTATGCTACAAGTCCCAGTATTCTGGAAATGAAACTTAACAGCATTCTGGAAATGAGAGTTAATAGCTTTTAGAGAACCACCTTAAACCACCTGCACTTTTTTTTTTTAAGTAATCTCTACCCCTAATGTGGCTAGAGTTAGTTAGGTATCTGACTCTTGATCTTAGCTCAGGTCTTGATCTCAGGGTTGTGAGTTCAAGCCCTTGGTTGCGCCCCACGCTGGGCGTGGAACCTAGTTAAAAACAAAAAAAAAAGAGTCGCATGCTCTATTGAATGAGCCAGCAAGGCACCCATCACCTGGCACTTTTAAACAAAATTTTTAAGTATTAATGCCTCATCCCACACCACACATTGATGAAAGGTTGCCAGACACTGGAAGAAGAGAATGCCATAGTGTGGCTTACCGGGACATGTAGAGCTTTTGCCACCTGCCACTCCACCCAGCAGGCAGCGTGGAGGCTGAGAATCAACTCTGTTACATTAGAAATCTAATGCAAAAGCAATGTGTGAGCATGCTACCTACTCTGGTTGGGAAGTAGTGGCTTGTCTTAAATGTCTTTAAGGTGCTCGAGAGGATGAAGGTGGTGAAGAAGAGAATGCAGGACCAAAAGAGCACGTCAGGAGTATAGGGCCCATGATGGCCACACGCAGATCCCGTGAACTCTCCATGCATCTCCTGGCATTCCTGGAGGAACAAGCATTCTGGGTGACAAGAGGCAGGCACAAGGGAATCGACAGCTCTGGCCTTTGAAGCCCACCGCTCGCTGTCACCCGGCAGTGGCCGGGGGTGCGTGGGGAGTGCAGGCCGCCAGCCGCGTCCGCCCGACCTCCATGCAGCGTGGTGCTCCCGCTTACACCGGCCCCTTCCAAGCAACGACTTCTCATCCCTAGGCACTTTTGGAAATGAAGCCAGGATGGTCCCAAGCAAGCATGCAGTTCTGGGTGGGCCCTGGCAATGTGTAGTGTTTATATGACAGAGCACTTCGCAGTCTGAATGTTCTTCAAGCCTCACTGCATCTGGGTGTGCCCCCCGCCCTGCTTGGTGTCATGCCCACGTATCCCTAGCACGGGGTCGCCGGGTAGGGGGCGTCTGGGAGAGAAGAGGAAAGCAATCTTCTTTTCCCTTTATATACAAGACAACTTCTGAAGGGGGGCGGAAAGGGTCAGTAAGAGCCTTTTAAATAAAAAAGAACTTTCTTTTTGAAAATGCCAGACCTTGCAGAAGGGCTACCGAGCTTCCCCCTGGCAGTCACAGTGCCGTAACGCAGCTCCCAGACTTACACTAACGGTCAGGTTGGCCCAGTGGACTTCTGTCGTCACGATATTGTGGTCCTTCCAGTACTGTAGGGTATGATTGTTGGGGTTTTCTGGGAGAGTACACCTGCAGCTAAGGGGAAAAGGAAAAAGATTCCTGAAGAAAGCAGCCAAGTACTCCATTAATGCTTTTAGCCATGGGACACCTGGGTGGCTCAGTCGGTTAAGCGTCTGCCTTCGGCCCAGGTCATGGTCCCAGGGTCCTGAGATCCAGTCCCACATCAGGGAGCCTGCTTCTCCCTCTGCCTGCCGCTACCCCCTGCTTGTGTGCGTGCTCTCTCTCTCTTTCTGGCAAATAAATAATAAATAAAATCTTTAAATACTTTTAGCCATGACTGGGCTAAAGGCTCTGTCAGAGCCTGCCTTGTTGCTCCTTTGCCTGCTTCAGATCCCTGAGATTGGTCCTGTTGCTTGAGGCCCATGCGTAAACCCAACCACATCCTTATTTTTCAGTCAGCCATTACTAAAGACAGACACAAATCAGCATGTGGGCCTTGAATTAAATTGTGCCAACAACCAAGCTCGGTGCCTCATGTGCCCACAATGAGCCCTGGTGGTTTCCTGCTTAGTTTCTTTCTCTCAGGCCCTTCCCTCGAAATTCAATCCACAGAGCAAGGAGGACCTGATACCCTAGTCAGCTCTCAACAGTCTCCTCCAAGCCTGGCTATCTCCCTCTTGCTCCCTATATCCCGTCACATTCTTGCTCTAAAAATCAGAGTCTCGAGATGCTTGGGTGGCTCAGTCGGGTGAGGTTTGCCTTGGGCTCAGATCATGATCCCTGGGTATGGGGCTCCTCACTCAGTGGGGAGCCTGCTTCTCTCCCCCTGCCTGCCACTCCCCCGGCTTGTACTCTTTCTCTGTCAAATAAATAAACGCTTTAAAAAAATAAAAAATAAAAATCAGAGTCTCCTGGAATTGTGATGCAAGCTCTGCACTGCATTATTCCTGGTAATATCCCACCACAGTAGCCTCCTCTTTCATCTAACCAGACCAGATCAGACTTGTCCTACTGGCCACCATGTTACCTCCCAGTCCCAAAATGCTTCATGCTTGAACTGGCTTCCAGTATACACAACTACATAGCCATTCCCACCAACTTTGTATCATCTGTAAATTTAAAAAGCATGCCTTCTAACCATCTAGTATCACAAAATTAAAATACAAAAAGATCTCAACAGATTGTAATAGGAGGAAACCGACAAAATGAAAAGTAATTGGGAAAGCTATAAAGTCCTATATTTAAGTATAAAAAATCAATTCCAGGTGTGCCTGGATGGCGCAGCTGGTTGAACGTCAGACTCTTGGTTTCTGCTCAGGTTGTGATCTCGGGGTCATGGATCAACACTCAGCACAGAGTCTACTTGGGACTCTCTCTCTCCCTCTCCCTTTGCTCCCCCACCCCAACCCATGCTCTCTTTCTCTCTCTCTCTCTCTCTCTCTCTCTAAAATAAATAAATAAACCTTAAAAAAAAATCAATTCCAAACTTGGAAGCAACAAAGATGTCCTTTAGTAGGTGAATGGATGAGCTACAGAATACCTAGACAATGGACTATTATTCAGCACTAAAAAGAAACAAACTATCAAGGCATTAAAAGACATAAAAGACCTTCAAGGAGATAATTCTACGTGAACAAAACCAGTCTGAAAAGCCTATATACTGCATGATTACAACTATATGACATTGGGGGAAAGGCACAACTATGTAGATGCTAAAAAAGATCAGTGGTTGCCAGGGGTTGGAGTGTTAGCAAGGGATGAGTAGGCAGAGCACAGAGGATTTTTAAGGCAGTGAAACTATTCTGTATGATACTATAATAGTGGATATGTCATTATAGATTCATCAAAACCCACAGAATGTATAATACCGAGTGAACCCTAACATAAACTATGGACTTTGGGTGATAATGATGTATCAATGTAAATTCAATGGTTGCAACAAACTTACCACTCTGGTATATGGGATGGTGACAGCAGAGGAGACTGCACATGTGTGGGAGCAGAGGGTAGATGGGAACTCTCTGCATCTTCTGCTCAATTTTGCTGTGAACCTAAACTGCTCTTAAAAAATCAGTTCCAGGGGCGCCTGGGTGGCTCAGTCAGTTAAGCGTCTGCCTTCAGCTCAGGTCATGATCCCCGGGTCTTCAGATGGAGCCCCAGGTAAGGGAGGCGTCTGCTTCTCCCTCTCCCTCTGCCCTTCCCCCAACTTGTGTTTTCTCTCTCCCTCCCACCCTCTCTCTCTCAAATAAATAAAATCTTTTTAAAAATTAAGTAATTAATTAAAAAATTTAAAAATCAGTTCAACACATACTAACATAAAATCATTTAAAGAGTTGGAGAGTTCTAGCTTCACAGCTCCAACAGTGGAATGCAACTAAGAAAAATACCATCTTAAGCTTTATTAACACAGAATTCCAGTGTCCTGATCCAAAGTCTACTCAGTCCAGGGCTGCTTACGTTTGTCTGTCTTCTCCCACTGGGATATAAGCCTCAGGAAGGTAGATCCTTCGTCTGTCATGCCTTATGTTTCAAGGGCCTAAAACAGTGGCTGGCACATAGTAGGTTCTCAACAAATATTTTTAAATGACTATATGATTTTTTTAAAAGATTTTATTTGTTTATTTGACAGAGACACAGTGAAAGAGGGAACACAAGCAGGGGCAGTGGGAGAGGGAGAAGCAGGCTTCCCGCGGAGCAGGGATCATGACCTGAGCCGAAAGCAGATGCCCAATGACTGAGCCACCCAGGCGCCCCTGAATATATGATTTTTAAAAAGGTCAAAGAATGAACCTTACCCCAATACCCATCGGCAATCCACAAGGCTTTAAAAATCATACCTCCTAATGGTTGTTATTTTGTAATAAAATAATTTCAAAATTCTAACAAATTTTTTATGAATTCAGACCTTCAAAAGGTTAATAAATGGATAAGCAAAATCTACAGAAGTGTGTCTGTGGCTAGGTGAGAGACACCTCCATGCAGTCTGCTCTCTCTGCTCAGACAGTTTCAGGTTGAAATTGTTCGCTTCACAACCAGACCCTCCTCATCAGAAATGTACAGCCAGCAGGGAGGGAACTTGATGGATAGAGCTAAAGGTTGAGGATCTTTAGTCATAATTTGGAGAACACAATTCCAGAGAAGAAATGTTTTATAGGGCCAGACTCTCCTAGATGGTTGAAAACACAGCCAAATACTGGGTTTCATTTCCAGCTGATCCAAACTGTATTAAACATGTGAAGAAAATGGTCTCTTGGGTTGAAATCCCTAGGTAAGTAAATAGGTTATTAGATTGTTAGGAAACAAAGTAAGAGGCCCATGGAACTCTAAGGAATTACTGTTATATCTCTACCTAATGATACCTAAGAGTAGCCTATACATACTTGCAGAGAATCTTCATAACATGGTCCAGGGACTCACAAATCCTTGCAAAAAGAAGTCCCTCCCAACAACTCACTTGAACTCTTCCCGCTCCCTTTGCAGCCTATTTTTGTCTCATGGTTGAACCAAAAGTCATGCTCTGGAAAGCAGTTCTCATATGCCCTGAGTTTCACTCTTAATCCATCCTCTCCATCATCACTCCTAACTGTTCTCCTCTCGGGCATCTCCCCCAGGTCTCCACATCCCCACCTGAGCCCTATTTCCCAGTGAGAGGGGCCAAGACCCTTCCTTATTCCTTAACACAAACTACAAGTACTGCCTGGTTCACTGTATCCAGCCAATAAACTCAGGCCTTCTGCTCAATTAAAAAAAAAAAAAAAAAAAGACAAAGCAGAAAGCATACTTACTAATACAGGCTAAGGTGGTCCAGCTGGCTGTGCATGTGGATGGGGTAGGTCTCTGCCAGGTGAATCAGCTTTTCTATGGCTTCATAGATGAAAATAATGCAAATCAGGGAGGCAAACGCTTCTTCTGTGAAGCGGGTAATGTAACAGACAAGGGAACTGGCATCAGTCGCCACAAGGACAATACACAGGAAGGCGGTCCACAGTCCAATACAAGCTCGCAGGGAGAGGTATGAAAGAGCGTAGTCTCTGAAACAAGACCAAGGTTCATCAGAAAGTATGGATGGATGAATTACAAGACAAAGGGTCAGAAATGTGGTTAGTTCATCTCATAGTACCCATTCAAGTATTGTGACCTAGTTTATCCCTAATTCTAACAGTCCTTCCCTCCTAAATGTTGCCCAGGGACAGCTGTGACAAAAGATCTGCTCCGCAGCTGGTATTTGCCACAGCAAGGACGTGGGAAGCGGAGAAGGAAGGAATTGCCCGTCACCCATTTCTGCCGTTACCGGCCAACGTGATTCGGATCTTATTCTTGCAGCAAGGAAAAAGGAGCTCGCCCTTGTTCCACATGTTCCTACTCCTAATGCAAAATGAAGAAAAGATTTTATAGGAAAAGTAGGGAAACAAGGGCACTGCCAAGTCCCTACCATCACTAGCAACCAGAATATGAAGGGGGCATATTAGGCCAAATTAAAAATGGACTTGAAATAAAAATAGTGGAATCTGAATTGGCTAGGGAACTTTTTTTTTAAAGATAAAAAGTCAAGACTTCAATAATGGCTGAGGGACATTAATAAAGCTCTTTAAGACTTTATTTTAGGTACGGTACTACCCAGGGGGCAGGACAACAGACCAAATGATGTTCTTCTTTCGGGTTTTACAATCCAGAGTAACATTTGCCTGCTTATACTCGCCTAGGATCCTGGCATTCAATCCTAACAACACAATAACACATCCAGTAAGAGTTTTCAGAAAACCAAATGTCTTACTTGCAGAATTTGAACAAAATCTTTTCAAATACAAGCACTGGCCCCGTACTTCCCAGGATGGTGAGAGCCTGTCCCGCAAACAAGGAATAGGCAATCCCAGTCATGGAGGCTCCAAACAAGGATTCAATTGCACTCTGAGGGGGGAAAAGAAATCATCAGAGTCCATAGCCCATCTGTAACCAGTAATGTGGGCTTCTGTACATTCCTGACTTAGCTCTCTTGTGTGCCCCGACAAGCCATTTGCTTGTATTTCATCTTAGCAAGAGTGAAGAATACACACTATCTAATACTCCTGTAAATGGATACCACTTTGATAATTCAGGTGCCCAAATCCAACCACATATGATTCCTTAACTAAGTCCTGTTCTTCAGCGATTCAATTCAGTACTGAAATATACATAGAAAGCACAATGATACCATTCACACTACGAGCCGTCAGTCAGAGTCACCTTAAATATCGAAAGACATTGATATATCATTTTCCATCTTTTGAGCACCAGGTAATCCAACTGGGCAATCAACTACTGAAATTGATATCAAGCAGAAGAGAGTCTGTTCTAAAGGGAAAACTGTTGCTGTCTGGTATGAAGTCGGAAGACCACAGTAACTCAGTAGAGAGAATCCAATCTCCTCAGTCCTAGCCCAGGGGATTTTCCCCTCAGCGGACTTGGCAGGCAGCACAATATTTTCAGTCTTGTTTGGGACCAAGAGAAGTGGTTAAAAGTCCTTACTATGCGCCCCTCAGTGGCTTCTCCGAGCAATCCCCCAAAGGTGATGACAGGTGACATGCAGGCACAGTACAGGAACAGAAAGGAGGCCAAACACTGTAAGCTGAGTGCGTCCCGGTAGTCGCTCCAGTACCAGGGGGCCTTCCGCTTGATGTCCAATATCAAGCCCCCAAAGAGCCTGTGGAAACATGGCAGACAGGCCTCTGACATTGTCCCTCTTCTGTGTAAGTATCTGAACAGCACCCATTTGAAAAGCATTTCAAATGTGTTCTGTACTGAAGACATAATTCGCCTGCAATTTGACCCCAAGTACAAGAGCTCTCTCGGGGGTCAGCACAGATTCTATTTGCAGCTAAGGGCGTGAATTTGAATGATTATCCCAAGCACAAAAAGAATGAATTTGGGTGTGCATATCACCCATTCAATAAGAAGTTCCGAAAAAATTAACGTGACATTAAGTAATAGCTTCAAACTTCAAATCCTGAGCTGTTAGGAGGAAATGTGCAAAACCAATTCAAGGTATTAAAGTTGTTAGTTTTAGTATAATATGTAGTCTAGATAAAAAAAAAAAACCATCACATGCACTTTCCTACTCTGAACAGCTACCCACCTTCCTGTTGAGAAATTAGCATAATAATTCATTCATGCAGTTGACAAGTAGTAGCAGATACTTGTGTCAGGCATTGTGCCAGATACTGGAGATGCAGCAGTGAGCAAGACAACACAGCTCTTCTCTCCAGGACCTGCAGTCTAGTGCAGGAGATAGGCAGTGCTGTGAGGGTGCCCCAGGCGGCATAGGAGGAGGGACATTTCCGCAGGGACTCAGAGAAAGGACCAGGAGTCGGCCAGATGAGGCAGAGGGGCTAGCACGGGCGCCACCTAGAGGCGAGAGCGCATGGCTGATGGAGATACGGCTGGAAGACAGTGTGAGGAGTCAATGCCAATAGAGGAGGATGGAGAAGCTGGAGAAGCCAAGTCCCGGAGAGTCTTGTAAACTGTTTTACGGAATTAGAACTTTATGCTAATGGCATGTCATATCACTGAAGGATTGTAAACAGGAGAACAACATAAACATGCATTCTGGAAGGATCACTCTGGCAGGGGTGTAATGAATGGAATGTGGGGCGAGACTGGAGGCAGTGGATTGGGATGAGGAGAAGTGGATGGACTCAAGGGCTTAATAAGGAAGTAGAATCAACAGGACTTGGTGGCAGGACTTCGGGGACCCCTCTCCACTTCCCAAGGATGAGACGGATCAAGAGCAAGATATCCCACACCAAGGAGGAGGAGTGTTCTCAAACGGGGTCACTTTCTCTAAGAGTGGAGTCACTGCACCAGAGTGAAAGTTGGTAGGTGAGTCACAAAAAGAGTCACTCAGCATTCTACAGGACAAATGGCCTGGTCTCTTCTACAAGTCAGTGGCACAGGAAAAAAAAAAGGAAGGAGAGTTGTCATAGAATGGGATCATAATAACCAAATGCAATCCCTGATTGAATCCTATGTCAAACAAATGAACTCTAAAAGGATGTTGCTAAGACAATCACAAAAAGTTGAATATGAACAGAACATTAGATAATTTAAAGAATCAGTGTTAATTGTGTTAGATTTCTTAATGGCATGATAGTTGTTTCTTAAAATGTCCTCATCAAACAGAGATACGTACTGAAGTAGTTACAGGTAAAATGACATGATACTGGTGATTTGGTTTTAAATAATCTAGAAAACATAAAAATAAAACAATTTAGTGGGGAGAAATAGATGAAACATAATTGGCAAAGTGTTGATCACTGTTGATGGGCACATGGGTGTTCATTATACCATTCTCTCTTCTCTCTTATGTGTTTGAAATGTTCTACAATAAAAAGCTGAAAACAAAAAACGAGCTTCATGAAAGGAGGCTTGGCCAGCCCTTCCTCTCTGCCTGGGAGCCTGGAGGAGAACCAGGAGGCCTGGAACCTGGGTGCCAGGGGAGAAGGCGGAGCCAGCTCACGTGCTCTCTCTCTCTCTCTCTCTCTCTCTCTCTCCATTTGAATGGCCTCTCTCCTCTAGCCAGGTGCAATGAGGGTACAGGTGGACACAGGGCAGATACTGTTCTATCTTACCCATTTGCTCTTTTCCTCTGGTTTGGGTGGGTATAGTTGGGATTCACCGTTCTTTAATTTACAGCAGTAACATCACAATCTGGGTCTTGGCTTAGGGAAGAGAGGCAAAGCTAGCTTTGTTTTTAGTCTATCTGGCAAACCTAGCTTAGGTAAGGAGCTATGTATAGGGTCTAACCTAGAGTGTGAGAATTCCACCTCAGGGTTTGTAACCAAGGCTCCAATTTGTAATAAAGTGTCACTATGTTTTGCTTTCTCCTCTAGGTAAATAGGACCTTATAGGCAGTTGTGACTAGTCTAGGGTGCAATATGAGTGTTTCTGGGTCTTTACCAACACAGAACCTTGGTACCATGTGAATGGTACCTCTTAATCATTGATGACCTTCCTCTGGAGGGTATTATTCTGGGAAAATAATCTCCTACTGCAGTAATGAGCCTCACCCCACTAGGCAACTGGAGACACTGCCATGATAGCTCAGCCCCCTGGATGCAGGAGACACCTTCAGGGAGGAGTGTCTGTGAGTAACAGACAAAAGATTTATGTGAAATGGATTCATAGGACGCCAATAGAAAGGGAGGACATCTGTTTGTCTAGCAGTGATTAAAAGGGGAAGGAAGGGGTGCCTGGGTGGCTCAGTTGGTTAAGTGTCTGCCTTTGGCTAAGGTCATGATCCCAGGGTCCTGGGATCGGGCCCTGCGTGGGACTCCCTGCTCCGCGGGGAGCCTGCTTTTCCCTCTCCCTCTACCCCTCCTCCCCTGCTTGTGCTCTCTCTCAAATAGATAAATAAAATCTTTTTAAAAAAAATAAATAAAAGCAGAAAGAAAAGATTTGAGGGTCTTATTGATAATGTAACTATAAATTAATAAAATAATTTCTGAATACTGTTTAGAGAGTCAGACTTAATATCTCACTCATGCATAAAATCAGATCATAATTGCACATCTACCACAAGACCAGGCATGGATGCTTCTCTTCACATTTGAGACTTCCTTTCCCTTTCAACACTACCCTTGATGTTCAAGTTTTTTGGGGGGTAGGAGGCACACAGGGATATGAATTTAAGCTTGATGCAAGACAGGACTTACCCGTGTAGAGGGTCACTAGGCTCTGGAGCACTGACTTAGGGAGCCCCTCTCTGGAGGGCTTTAGGGCCAGGACAGCCATCCTCTGTCTGGTGTGCTTTGAAAGAAACCTGTGTGAAGTGTGGGGGGGATCATCGCGATAGCAGCTCCTGATTCTTTTTTTCATTAACCCTTCCCAAAAGCGGCGTCCCCAATAAGGTACATAAATATACCTTGGAAAAACCCTTTCCAGAGTATCCTCCCTGTGGTGAAGCTTCTGGCCTAGGAACAGGCTAGTCAGATTTTCCTCTTTGTTAGGTATGGGAATGCGTCAGCATCACTGCTTGCATCAACATCCGGGAGGTCCAAGACGATGTGTTAGCCCTGGCATGGTGGGTCACGTAATACAGAACTCGGAGTACTGCTTTCCACCTGTCTCTTTCCCACCTTCTTAGAATCTACACTCCGCCATCTTCATATACCTCACCATCCAACAAGTAGAACATCCCCTAGGTCTCCAAGTTTTGCCCCAGGCTATACAACATCATATGCATAAAGCAGGTCTTCCACCTCAAAGAAATACAGCTAATGGTGTGAAGAACTACAAAGCCCAGGCTGCTAATATATTTTTGGTCTGTGCAGTCCAGGCACGTCCAGAAATGTCCAGGATGTCCATCTGCATGGGCAGGAAAATGTTCACTCTTTGAGAGTGATCTCAATACTTTGAGATTAGGAAAGGGGCAAGAGTGGGCACAGAATCATAATGTCTGATGCAGGCAATAAGTCAGCTTGTAGTAGTCACTACAAGGCTACAATGGGAGAAAGGCCACGTGTCTTGAGGTCTTCTACTAGGGCTCTGAGGAAAACTTTAGGAGCTCAGGAAGAGGAAGTATCTCCTCACCAAGCCGACTTAGGCTCTGAGCCTAGATAACCCTTCCTGTCAGCCTTATCACCTCCATAACTTCCTGACAAGACACGAAGGGAGAGCTTCCTCACACCCTATGTGAATTTGTGAGTAAGGGTACTTTGATACTATGAGTAAGCATGTGATGATTCTGGCTGTATGAGATTCTCTTTTGGGATGTCAGGCACCATTGCTGAGACTCTATAGTTGTTGAGATACAATCTAATGATCTCCCAAACCCCCTGTGGAATTGATTATAAATGACCCCCTCAAAAGGCTTGAGATTCTAGTTTATTCTCATCTGACATCAAAGGAAACCTGAAACCTCTCTTCTGCATGGATATCATTTGGAGGAAATCCTGCTGCACTCATCTCCACTACCTCCAAATTCTAAGTCCTGGGGTGTGGACACAATTTATATTCAAAAGATAAATCCCAAGTCTGAAATACTATCAAAGGTATACCCAAGACTCTTCCCCTAAAAAAAACACGACCTCTTCCAGGACAGTCTCAATCCTAGAACCTAGTCTAAGGACAGATGGTTCCCTTGAACTGCTTCTCAATACCAGGCCTCCCACCCAATTCAGACCTCTCCCAACTTTAAAGAAAATGTTAAACTCACATTTGGAGGTTGCTCCCTCATTTCAGTGGCCTCCTTCCATCAAAGGACGGTTCCTTTCCTCCATGATCGCTCCCCAGAACCCAGTTATCTTTCCCCATCCTCAAATACCTTCCTCCAGCCAGGAAACAAACACATCCCCCCCCTCCCCGGACACTGCTAGTTAAGTGCCTTTTCTCCTGCTTCTCAGTCTCCTTTCCTGGCTCCTCCCTGAATTTTCAAGAGTAGAAAAATAGATGCCTGTCTAAAATTCTAAAAAAAACCCCTGAGTTTCCACTGCGTAGAGTACTGAGGATAGAAAAGGAGAGCAACTTCAAGCAAAGAGGAAAAAAATAAGGCGAAAGCAAGGAAGTAGAAGATGTAACAGAGCTTCTCTCCATGACCACTGTCCTATCCTGAGAATCTCCACTCTTCTTCGACACCAGCACAGTTCACAGGCCAGAACTATGGTCTCAACCTTCTTCCACAATCTGGGGGAGACCCTAGATGTCACTCCAACCCAAAATATCACCCTCTTTTACTACCTTCCTACCTGGCAAATAAAAGTGAGTCTAGAGACCTGCTTCCCTAACCTCCCATAGAGAACCTTCTCCTTGGGCATCTGTCCATAGAATCTTGGCCCAGAAGAGTAGACTGACTAACCTGAGATACACACACCTAAAATACTACTTATGTGCCTACCCAAAGGGTGTTTCTTAACTTCAAATAATCACTCGATATTTATCTATATTTACTCCACTCATGCTACAGAACAGGGATCATTCTAAAAGTATTCATTCACAAGTTCATCAGATATTGAGTGCCTACTCTGTGCAGGGCACGGTGCTGGGTGCTGGGAATATAATGGGCACCCCACCCATATGGAGCAAACTTTCTAGCAGGAAGACAACAAATCAAGCAATAATAATTGAGTATGAGAAGGGCTATAACCAGGGGGGTAGGAGGAGGCTGGCAGACGAGTGAGGACCGAGCTCAAAGCTGTGACACCACATAGCAGGAATACCTAACCTCATCTACAGAGTCTTACCAGGCTTTCCAAAGGAAGTGACACCTAAGCTGAGACAAAGGATAAGTGGCAGTTAGGAGATAAGGAAGGGGATGAGTGTTCAAATCAGGGAACAATGTGTGGAAAGGACTGGAGGGGAGACAGACTGTGGTAGGTGGTTTGAGAAACTTGAATGAATGAATACGATACCTGATATATTTGCAATACTTATTACAGTGGTTCCATTTGGAAAGTCATTCCCAGCCAATATACTACAGAGAAGAAGGCTGAAAGCAAAGAGTATGACTCATTCCTTTACACACCTTCAGCCCAGTAAGGAGCATGAGCTGTGAAGCATCCCCGAACTTACCGCCCGGTGCGCTGAAGTTCTGGCCCGCTGTGGCCCCCATGTGGTGCTGGTTCTATGTGGCAAACATTTCCATTTGGGACTCCGGGCATTTTCCTTTTCTCCTTTTAACAAAGGACGCCAAAATTAGTAAAGTCAGCCATCTCTTCTGTCCTTCCTGCTAACAGGGGGGAGTGGTAATGAGACAATCCAAAAGCAGCCCCCAAATACCCAAGTGTTTGTAGTTTTCAAATGCATTTACTGATTTGGGGCAGTTTAGAAAAACAACACCACCATATAATTTCTCCCCCTCTCTACTAGTACCTGACTCCTAACTCTGCCTTTTCCAAAAACAAAAATATGGAGGCTTCAGCATCAGCTATAACCTAAGTTCCAGTTTCAAATCTCCCTCTGTGTAATCTTACTTTCCCTTAAAACTTTGAAGATAGTTTTATTTCTTTAAAAAATTAAGGATAAAAATACCTACTTGGGGATGTTGCTGGCAAGGCTGAGTTAGTATTTGTAAAGCGCCAGGCTTATTGGCTAGTGTACAAGAGCTCCTTTCCCACCTTTAACCTGGCCGAAGCATGGGCGACTCTACTCGCTCTCTCTCCGCAACTTGCTCTTTTCATTGCATGGCTTCATCCACAATCTACTCCCAAGAAATGTCCTTCCCTCCCCTCTCTGCCATTCCACATCAAACCAGCAAAAGCCACTCGAAATTTCTCTAGAGTAATCCTGACTGATCACATCACCTGAGCCTACCTATGTTACTGTATACTTATTTTTTATAACTGTTCTGTTCATTCTACATGTCCCAAAAAGGGCCATGTCTTGATTTATTTTGTATATATCCACATGGTCTTTGTTTTGTCCATGGTGGGTACTCAGTAAGTGGCACTAAGCCACCACTGGCTAATGTGCATACATTACCTGGGAAGGGACATTTTTGGGTGGTTCAATTCTAATGGAGGGGTCCCACTCCCCTGGAGGCAAAACCGTGACCTGATCCAGGAACTCATCAATCCCCGCCAGGAGATCATCCCGCTCTTTCGCCTTATATGCCACATCATGAAAAATCTACAGGGAAGAAAAAATCCTCAGGAAATTTGAAAATAACTTTACTTAAAACAATCACCAGTGAATATGGTGAAGGACAGATACAACCTCATGATTTTTATCTCTGTCATGTGGATCTGAAATGTGGAAAACTTTAGCATTTAAAAAAATGCAAAGATGAAAGGATAAAAAACATAAACCTGAAGATGAGATGGGTCAAAAAGAACTAGCCATATGTATGTTAGTACAAGAAAAGACTCTAACATTGTATCATTGCCATCGCTCCAAAGAATGGAACAAAAGGCAAAATGCATGGGAAAATTTCCAGATCATAATAGTTGGAAAAACTGGATGGAATTACTAACGAAGGTCCCTCCATGAAATAAGTTTCCCAATCAAAGAGAAATGATAAAACACAATCCCCATCTGCCTCTACCCGCTATGACACAAGCCTTAAAAACTTTACATTGTAGCTTACGTGAGCAGTGCACGCCTCACTAGGGTATGAGGTGGGGATTCAGCACCATGGTGGCCAAAATACCTGGTTGTCTTGGGACATTCACATTACAGTGCCCAAGCTCATACTCCTGACCCTTATGCAAACTGGTCTCATTTACATGGAATAAGAGTGAGGTTTCTTTATGTAAATGGCTTTTATGCAGGTAATTAACCATCCTCTCTAGAGTGTTGTCAGCCTTAGTATCTTTCTCTGTAGGTATCCTAATTGGCAATAATAATTTTCCCAGAAAAGGATTTCTCTGCATCCTTGATTACTCAAAAAGGGAGAGATGACATAGGAAGAAATACCCCCAGAAGGTTTGGTCCTCCCACAAAAGGCATTTAGAGAAGTGACCTGAACTGCTTCCCAGAAGATAATTACCCAGAATGGTAATTACTTTATCTCCAACAAATAGCACAGGACCTGGCACAGAGTAAAGACTCAATAAATATCTGTGGCATGAATGGAAAGCAGGAAGTGATGCATACCTCATCAGTCATGATGGTAGCCATGGATCTGCCAATCTCATGGTACTGCTGACCTTTCCCTACTGGACCCAATAGGATAAACAAAAATCTGGCAACACATACAGAGGAAGAAATTATAAATTATGTCAGTAAACATAAGGAAGTGACACCTTATTCCTCTCCAAACAACAAAACATTTCTCTTTCCTATTAAACAGAAATCACTGTTGTAACTTCAATAAAAGGAGACAGGCTAATGATGGAGCAGTAGAAGTTGCCCTGACCTAAGAGCTCCAGTATGCATTGGAGGCTATTTGTAGGACTCCATTCAATAACGTGGTTATCATCCTTAGGGTTTCCAAAGACACAATTCCTTACTATAGAAAAAAATGCTTTTTTCAAAACATGCCATTGTAGTGCAAATTCAAAGTTTTCTGAATCTCATTCATTGCTTTAATAAGAAAATGATGGGGAAAGGCGAGGGATAAGGAAGTTGAAATGATCAAGCCCAGTAGAGGAGTCTAAATTGTGTTCTGGACATCTGAATACTCTGTAATTAATGGGGCTCTGAATCACCTGAGTCACCATCTTCAGAGCGCATGAATAGCGTTTTGAACAAATGCGGACATATTTGCAAACCTACAAATCCTGCCAGAACCGTGGAAAAAGACATCAATACCTTTGCTCAGAGACACTTCCCTGGGACACGGCTCTGTAAAACTGGGAGACTAAGACTCAGGCTTCCCATCCTAACAAGTGATTAGCCCATGATATGCTCTTTGGATGCTCTGCAATTCTCCATTCCCAAGCCTGTAGGTACTGTATAGTACCTACTGTATAGCCTTGCAAGTCTTAGAATCCTTCTGCATGGAGGTTAATCAAATATAAACCCAGTGAGAGTACTGCTGAATTTTAAATAGCATTCTCCAATTAATCCTAAATTTTGGCATTAGCTGGTTTCTTCTACCAGAGCTCACACAAATCTGTACTTGAGACAGAATGCACTGAGTTTTCCGGTCCTTGTCTTTACCTGGTTGGGATGGGCACTTCGGTCAGGCCCGAGAGAAGAACAGCTGGAGATAGCCTCACAAAGGCAACAATGGGGCGGTCCAGAGTATCCACCTCTCCAACCAGGACATTTGAGGCCTCTGCCCCAGTGGGAATTTTTTTCATGAAATGAAGATCCACCTGAAAGTCCAAAAGAATCCTCTGACACCCTAGGAGCGTCACCTCAAACATCAATCAACACTCTCGCACCTTACATTCATCTGTCATTTTATGATTTAACAAATGTTTTCTCACACTATTTCACGTAATCCTTACAATAACTCTGTAAAGTGGATAAAACAGAGCTCATCAGCCCCACTTTTTTATTTTAAAACATGAAGCAGCTGAGACCCAGGGAGGTGAAGTTGACTTGCTCAATGGAGCTTTGAAGAGAGAGAATTTAAATCCCGGTGTTCTGATTTGAATTCCATTACACCACCCTTTCTCAGAGACTGTTTTTGAAGCTCTAGGTCACATTTTTTCCATTTTAAAATACCTGAATGCTTTGTCAGAGGTTTCAGCTTTTCTAAATAAAACAGGGAGCCTTCCAGGCAGAGAAGTGCCATGACACCATGTGTGTATTCTAGCTAGAGTCAAGGATAGACCAGGGCAGCCAGAGGCTGGGGGCGGGGAGATCGAGGCTTACACCAGCAGCTGCAGGGAGGCACTGTTGCTGCAGCAGGCCTCGGACACCCAAGTCACAGTCCCGAAGAAGAGTCTCAACCGCCATGTAGTTTTAGGAGACAGGAGCAAAACTATTGTTTCAGCAAAACCCTTGGAGGTAAGAAGGAGATGCTGAAGAGCAAGTGCCCAAAAAAAAAAAAAAGGTGGAAAAATCAGGAGGTCTGTGTCAGTGAGGATTAGCAGGGGCTACTCTCAGTTCTAGCACGTTGAACCTGGTGGGCCCCATCCAGGCTGGAGTGGAAGGGAGAAGACCTGAGCAGAGGGGCCTCCTTTCCCGCAGAGGGGGTTCTGGTCTTAGACAAAGGCTGCAGAAATACCAAAGCTTACCCAGCTTCCAGCAACTGGACTCCCGGTTCCACTAGGGATGCGCTTAGGCCTCTAAGCCAAGTTCCCATGTCTGTGCTCACCTTGCTTAAATCCACAGGACTGTGTTCACAATTCACTCCATTTTTTACTTCAAGACTTGTAGTGGGAACAGACTGAGGAGACACAGTTTGACCTATTCAGAGAAAACAACTCCCTGAGTCTCTGCCCTATCCCCCTTTCGACACACCCTATCCATCATTGGTTGGCTATGGCCATGTCTCCTGCAAAGCCCATATAGAGAAGAGGTTCAGATGACATGAAGCTAAGACCCACACATACATATCTCCTTACCCACTAGTTAGTGGTAAAGGGAGGACAGAAGTCTTACTACTTCTGCACCTTCTTCCTGAACATATTTGTGATCCTCTTTTCTTCCTCTATTAAGGTAGTAATTCTTAACCAGGAGTGCACCTCAGAGACTCCTTTGGAAAACTTTTCAAATATGTAGATTCCCAGGCACATCCCCTGCACATTGTGTTTCACTGAATGTGGGGACAGGGAGACATGTAGATTAGGCCCTGCCTGGCCACAGAAAAGGAAACCAAACAGCAGCTGAAATTCATTGAGTGTTTACAACCCATCATGCACCTGGTTAAGGGATTTATGTGGATTACCGTACTGAAGCCTCACAATAAATTTATGGGGTAGATGCTATTATTACCCTTATTTTCCAGAGGGGAAAGTGAGACTTCAAGAGATTTAGGAGGTTGCCCAAGGTCACACACTTTGCAAGGAGTGAAGCCTGAATCTCAAACCTCGAAGTCTGACTCAAGAACCTACACTACTGTATTTTGCCTCCTTAATCTAAGATCTATCCGAGATCTATCTGAGGCATGCATCCCTAGTGCCACAAGAGATGGATGGTCATCAGTCCCAGCCCCCGCATCTTGCCTGTGACCAGAGTACTGTGTGTAAGTGAGTGCGGAGCATATTAGACAAATAACAGCCTGTACCCTTCAGTAACTTAGCATCTCCGACTAGTTCCTAAATGTCTAATTAATAAGAAGAGAAAACAGTCACTCCTAATAATCTTACCATTTTTATCCATCGAATGTGGATCAGACTGCTTCTTGCCAACCTCAGCAAAAGAGCGAACAATGGGAATGAGGTTATTTCTCTTTTTTTCATTCTGATGGTGATGCTTTTTGAGCAGGGCTTCTCGTACTTTAACCCTCATGCTGTCATTCAGGTCACTGAACAGTTCTTGCTGGTCCAGGATCAGGTCTGGAAAGCAGGCACTAACATGAATACTCCAACTGACTGTCAAAGAACTCAAAGAGGCCAGCGTCAGGTGGGGTGAGGGGTGAGGGGCACGGAGTAAGGGGAAGCAGTTCCATTGGGTACAACTTATGCTCCCGTGCCCAAAAGAGTTATCTGTTGACAGCAACTGTGGCAAGTTACACTTGATTTGTGTGACAAATCATTATTAGAAACTGTCGAGCACTTAATATGTGCCAGAACTGTACTGAGAACTCTACATAGATTACGCAATTGAATCCAAATAAAAACTCTGAGAAGTGGGTGGCACTGTAGCAATTTGTACAGATCGGGAAACTGAGGCCCAAACATTACAAAATTCCCCAAGACCTCACATCTAGTCAGTTGCAGGGATGGGATTCAAAGCCAAGACTGTCTGACTCCAAAGCCCACATTAATACCCACTTTGTTCTGTCATCTGCCAAAGTTCCTCTATATTCCCTTCCTCCAAGATTTCAACATCGCTATGATTGTCAAGACAAACTATAACTGTAGAATACTCCAAATGACAATTTGAAGGAGGAACCTACATGTATGAGTAAGCTAACTAAGTACCCCAGACAATTGCCACCAAGCATCAACCTTTAACCTGTCAAGCCCAGCACAGTTGAGGGGGAAAAGAATCCCAAAATACATGCTACTGAGTCTGAGTTCTAGAGCTAAAGGCCCACATTCTTTCCCACTTCTACCCCTTTCCGTGGGACCTTGGGCAAGTTACATAACCTTTCCATACCTCAGTTTCCTCATCTGTAATATGGACCTAATATCATCAACCATCCTCAAAGCCTGTGAAGGAAAATTAATGAGATAATAAATACAAAGTGCTGATTCACAGGTGATACTTGATCCAGTTTACCTAACCTTATCACTAACACGAATACATCAGGTATCTAACGGAAAGAACTCTAACAGTTATACTTCAATCCTGCATACCTATCCCCAAGCCTACCCAAAACTTCAACCTATTCTTAACCCCAACTCCATCCATTACTATCAAAGTACTAGAAGCAATAAATAAAGAAAATCTATTTTGAATATTCAAGCTGAAGATCCATGGTTTCTCTATCTTTAATCTTCATATTGATTGGTTCATTGCCCCCATATTGTAAACATGCTTCAGGATCCTACATCTTGAAAAGAAATTTAAAGTAAGAAAAAGAATGTTCACCCCAGGTCCCCCTTTATTTATAAACCTCTCTCTCTCTCTTTCTCTCTCTCTCTCTCCTATCATTTAAAGTTCTCAAAGAAAAATTTCTCAGTCCCCTGCAATTTGGCCACCTCAATGAAATTATTTTTGATAAAATCATCAATAACTTTCTAGTTGCTAAATCTGATGGATGTTTACCTTACCTCTCTGCAGCATTTAACACTGATGAGTTGAAACTCTCTCTCCTCTTAGCTTTTGTAATAAGGGGTTGAATGGTACCCTCCCTAAAAGATACATCTATGTACTAATCTCCCAGAACCTGTGACTGTGATCTTATTTGTAAAAAGTGTCTTTGCATATGTAAGTAAGCTAAGGATCTCAAGATAAGATCATCTTGGATGATACTGACAAATATCCTTACAAGAGTAGTACACAAATGAGAAGTCCGCATGAAGACAGAAGCAGAATGGAGTTAGGCATTCATGAGAAGGAACACCCAGAGCCACTAGAAGCTGAAGAAGCAGGGAATAGCTCTCCCCTAGAGCCTTCAGAGGGGACACAGGATCTCATCAGGGCTGACCCCTCCTCTGCTTCCCCAAGTGACCCCAGAGAGGCAGAATAACCTGGATACTTGAAGAAAAGTTTGAAGAAATCTCTATTTAACCAGCCAAATGGACCCGAGCTGAGGGAATAACCCTCACATGCACCCAGGTGTTTCTCAAACGCCGTTCCCAAAACATGGTAGCAACACTCAACTGCGTCAGGAAATCCCATCAGACATAGCCCTTCACACCCTGCTGAAGCCATGGGGGGACTTTGGCTCAATTTCTTACATGTCTTCCCTAGCAGCCATGTTTAAAAATCTTTCCTTCACACCTTTTTCTCTGCACAATTCACAGGTGCCCCTTTCTCTGATTATTCCCAAGACTTATCTCTGTGGTTGCACTTATTCCAATTGTCCCATGGCTATTTCCCCGAAGGTGAGTTTCCTGAGGGTAGGAATTGTATCTTACCTTTATTCCCCTGTGTTTAGCACATTATCAAGCATAAATAGATACAAAACAAATGTGTGCTAAATGAACAGGCAAATGGAAGACTGAATACCCTATTGTTTGAATCCTATAAGAAGGCTGTGAAATAGGTAGTTTCTTAGTTTAAAACCCATCCCCCCCAGCTGAAGACATTGAGGTTGGGAAGGGTCAGTGACTGACCTGAGGACACACAGCTACTTTATTCTTTCCTCCACACCACATTTCTTAACTTACACAAACATTCCTCTGTTTTCCCGCACCTAAACTTACCTGAAATTTCTTCTATGCTATTTGCACGCATATCCAGAAGGACTGTTCCATTAATAAGGCAGCTCCTTAGCTCAAAGAGACTGTGCAGTGACAGGGTTGCCACATAAGGCTTGCTCCAGCGTTCACCCCCATCCTCAACATCCTCTTCAAACTTCAGCCACCTGAAAGCATTACAAACAACTGGATGCCAAAGGTAGAAAATGAGGAATTTTCACAAGAGAGAGTCTTTAATGTAAGCCACAATGAAAGATACCTGAATAATCATATTGAACATTATAATTTCATCTACACTTTCAGGGTACACTGATAAGTGAAAAAAGCAGGTTATAAAACAGTGCAAAGTTGAGTACAGTTTGCTCCCGTTTCTATTTAAAGAAAATTTTAAAACTGCAAACACACATGTATAAGACACCAAATGGTGTCTTCCTCGTTATCCTTGAGGTAGTAGATTTATACATGATTTTCATCTCCTTTTTGCTTATCTTTCTTTTCTGATTTCATATAAGGAGCACATATTACTTGTGTAATTAAAAAGATAGATCTAATTGATATCATTTGGATAGATTAACAAAATGGTAATATTTTTCTTTTTTAAAAAGTCTCTATGTGACATTTACAAGTTGGCAAAGACTAATTGCCTTTTCACTTGGTATCAGGGTGATTGGCTTGCCTAATCCTCTCCACCCATGGCAAACATTCGAGGATATAGCAAGGATCCAGGAAGAGCTGTTCCAGTGAAAGCTAGCTAGAGTCACACTTTGCTAGTTACCCACCTTGCCTTCCTCCCTGAAGCTCAGGTATGCTGGCTTTCTAGCACCCATAAGGTTCACTGGTCAATTACTAGAGGAGCCCAGACATGGTCCTGGTTAATCTGAGGGCTCTTCTGGGGTTTGAGCCTCAGGCAAGCATTGTCACTCTACAGCTACCCCCAGGAAGCCTACCATCAGGCTAGCTATAATCCCACTGGTCTCCATGAGGTTGGGCTGTCCCATAGGACATCTCAAAAATTATGAAACATCGAGCGAATCAAAACCCAAATGAATTAAGACACTATGGTTCACCTTCAGAAAAGTCTTCACCTATCCTGTGTTCACCTAAGCTTGGTTGCTTGGGTCCAAACCAAGGTGGCCCCATCAGGCATCTTCTAAGCCAGACCTATAATATCAAGATAGCCCATGAGCAACTCTGGGCCCTAAATAAATGAGAGGACTCCCTAAAGTTTCTGTGTTTCTGTCACCAATCCCAGGATCAAGGTCAATTGGCATAGGTGTCACCAGAGACAACACAAAGAGGCCGAAATCAAGACTTCCCATAGAAGACTCTGGAACATCAGTCCCCATGTCAGTCATCACTTCTCCCATGAAGAAATAAAAGGCAAGCAGACCTGTCACACTTGCCGAAAGGAACACGTTTGCCTACCCAAGCAAATCGTGACCCAGGATATTTTAGGGCCTTACCTAGCTGTCTCCTTCCACTCAGCATCTTCTCCCTCTTTCATACAGATCTCATCCAGCTCTGTGAACAGCTCATGAGGCACATGCTCTTCATCCTCCTCAGTGCCAAGAATGAACTGAACACGCTGAGATGGTGTATCTAGAAAATCAACCACAGAGAAAGGTCTGCTCCCAGCCCCAACTTAGAACAGAAATAGCATTCTGCTGTACTTAGCACATCTGGGGGCCTTATAACTTTAGGGACATAGAGAAAACAATCCTGAATGTAGAGCAAAAAGATTTCTTTATTTTCCTCCCCCCCCCCAAAAAAAAATTGCTCTTCTATGGAAGCAATTAATGGGAGGAAAAAATTATGAACTAAGACCACTTGAAGCAAGCCCACAACAAACTGGAAATCAGATTAATCTGATCAAAAAGAATGGTTAATTTTCTGCCAAATGATTTCAGCCTACATGGTAATTGATTTGGGAAGCCCGAACTATGAGTTTTTCAGAAAGATACTTTTGATTCTTAGAGGCATTTCTTCTTCTTGGAAGCAAGCCCTGAGAACCCTACAAAAGGGCTAGAGAATCAAGACCACCTACTTGATGTCCATCACACACATTCCCTCAGCCTCACCAAGGTCCCAGCCATGGACCTCCGCCCTGCCTCCCAAGAATGTTACCGTGGGCCAGGGCCTCTGGGCCTTCCTCCCCCTGGCTGGCTCCTTTGCCCCGCCCTCGCCTCCGGTGCTTCTGGCCATGCGTTCGGTGATGGCGATGGCTCTGCCGGCCCAGCGGCATCCGAACCCCCACATACAGAGTTCTATGACCTGGAACGAAGCAGAAGGTCTGTGCAGAGAATGCCTTTATTTTTCATTTTATTTTATTTTAAAAGTTTTTATTGATTTTAAGTAATCTCTACATTCAATTTGGGGCTCAAATTCAGGATCCCGAGATCAAGAGTCTCATGTCATACTCTTCCGACTGCGCCAGCCAGGTACCCCAGAGAATGCCTTTAATAAAAGGAATCGAGCATATTTAAGAGAGAAAAAAATCGTAGCTCTCTGGCCGGGTCACAACTCTGTAATGGCAAAACTTCAAAGACTAAAGACATAGAGGTCTTGGAGCTGACGCACTCCTTCCTCCCTGCACGTGGCTGCAAACCTCACAGGAGTGTTAAGATCAAAAGAAATAATGTGCGTGAACTTGATTTGCAAACCATAAAGACCAGCAAGGATTCTAGTTGTTGTTGCGACAATTTGAGCAATTGAAAAAAAGCAATACGGTCACTGTGCCAACTGTAACAAGTCCTGGCAGGGAGGCAGTTTAGAGAAGTGGCTAAATGGTCAGGTCAACCTGTCCGGGTCCGAAACTTGACCTCACCATTCACTAACCACGTGACCTTGAACAAGTTAGCTAATCTCTGTGTCTTTAAAAAATAATAGCAAAAGCTTATTATTTAAACTCAGAGGGTTTTCATGAGCAGTACATAAGGTAATGTATGTAAAATGCTTAACACAATGCCCGGAATAACTTTTAGCAGCCACTGCATTCTAGGACCAGTTGCCGCTACTTTTCCTTCTGCACTGTAGAATACGCAATCTAGAATAGTAGTGAGACACTAGTTACAAATCATAAGAAACATGAGTCTGGGGTTACAGGGAGAGATAGTAAATGTACAAAAAGAGGAAGAATGTGGGAAAATAAGTGATCCCAGAGTGTTCTGTCCAATTCCGCTTTTTCTACTCATTTGTTCCTTTTAGAAGCCTTATTTTGTGCTGCTCATGACCACCAGGCTTCTCTCTCACCTCCACCTGGCTTCCCTTGCCTTGCTGCCAGCCTGAAGCCCAGAATCAGTACCTTTGGGGCTGCTACCACCCTGATGCACAGAGCCTTAGTCTTCTCCCACTGCTGCCCAGTTCCTGCTGCTAGCGCTCTAGGTCTCAGGCTGACTCCCCACTTCTTCCACCATAGATGTGTTCCGGTCTTCAGTCACCGTCCTAAAATCCACAACCCTGAGCCACACTTCCTTCCTCTGAGCAGGTGACCTCACTTTATATTTTACTAAGAAGACTTAGGCAGTCTCATGTGACCTCCCTGCCTCTCAGCCTGGCTTGCTTTCCTCCCCCCGCTGCTCCTCTTTGCCAGGCTAATGAGTATGGCTTCCCACACCTCTGGAGTCCTCTTCCATCAGCTAGCCTCAGTCTCTCCTTTCCATCCATCCCTTCCACACTTTCTCCCGATTACAAATCTCTCTTACCTTTTTTTTTTTTTTTAAGTAAGCTCTAGGCCCAACGTGGGGCTCGAACTCATGACCCTGAGATCAAAGATTCACGTGCTCTACCAACTGAGCCAGCCAGGTGCCCCACATCTCTCTTAAGAAGAAACTTTCCGATATAGTGCTCTAAGCTTCTACCTGTCCATTCTCCTTCTCCACCAAACCACTTTCAAGAACAATCGACCCACCTAGCTTCTGTTCCTCACCATCTCCTTGTTTCATAGCCTCTGCATGTGGCTACTTCCCACTGAAAGTGTCCTCATTAGGAACCACTTAGTAACCAAATCTCTATCATCTTATGTCCCTCAGTTCAACTCCAAAGCCTTTCCTGAGAGCCCACCAAATGCCAGGCAGTGTCCAAATCCCTGGACTACTTCCTCCCATTGGTGGTCCAGGGTCCCTTAGCTCCTATACCCCTGCCCTCCCTTGGTCATCTACACTCCTCTGACTTGGCTTCTCCATCCCTTCCACAATCCACCAAAGGAATGCTCCCAGTGTTTTGGTCCTGGGCCCTTCTCTTTTTTTTATTGGTATCTACTCATGATTTGAAAGTTTACTTCTACAAATGACCCCCAAATCTTTATCTACAGTGATTCAGCACCTCCCAAAGCAAAGTCATCATCCTCCATCTCAGATCCAGTTCATACCCATTTCTGTCATGTTTCTGTTCATGACATCACCATTCTCTCAACTTTCCAGGCCTGAAAACTCAGAGTTACCTTAGATTTCCACCTCTCCCAATGCCCCTCAGTGCTACATCCTACAAATTAGGGATGTCAAGGATTTCTCTCCCCTCACTTTGACAACAGCAGGAGCCTCTTTCCTGCCTCCCACACCAGCTCAGTCCTACAAACGAATCCTCCTGAAGCACTGCTCTGATCACAGCTCACGTCTGTGCAGTCAGGACCCTTCATGCTCCAGCATGCTCAGGCCTCAGCCTCCTTTCTAGTCTTTTCTTTGCTAGGACAAATTGCACATTCAATAGGAAAATTAAGGGAAGGGCCTCTAAAAGGACTGAGCACTCAGCTCGAGCAAGACTGAAGTGGAAATCTCACACGTGCTCACACCTATTAAACATTCCGGGGGCAGAGGGAAATCTGGAGATGTACACCTTCTGTGTCCACCCCAGCAACTCTGTCTCCTCCCCACAGCCTCAGCTGCTGCACCCACCATCATCTCACATTCTTTCCTCTACATGAACCAACCCGCCATTCCACAAATGTGCCAGTGCCTTCCAGACACGGACTTGGCTCGCTCCCACAAGATTCACCGCAATGCACATTCCTTCTTGGTATGATCTCTGATCTCCCCAATCAGATGTGTTGCTTTCCTAGCTCTAAATCCCTAGAGCCCTTAGCTAGCTTTCTCTTATGCACTTATTTTATGCCTTGCACTAGAATTAATACCTCCCACTATTCACCTGCAAGCTTCTCAAGGTCCCAGGTCATCTCTCTTGGAATTCTCTCACATAACAAAGCAGTGTTTTACATATGGTCATTGTTCCACAAATGTTCAGAAAATGGAACATCCCCTAAGAGCCTCCCTCAGGAACATAACCTCTTCAAACCTCTTCAATCTGACCTAAGGGAGACTGTAGCTAAGATGATTAGAGGCAACATCTGAGTGATGAGGAGAGGCCATGAGAAGAGCATTCCAGGACAAGGCAAGATCAACGCGTAGGTTTTACAGTGGGGATGTGCGTGTTCCAAAGCAAAAGGACAGCCAGAGGGCCAGAGCAAAGTAAAAGAGGAAAGAAGAGGAGGGGGGAATGTCAAAAAGACAGGCAGGGGCAGATCATGAAGAACCCATGGACAGTGAAAAGCATAATCAGATCCCACAGAACACTTCAACCAGCCCCTAAAAGAGAGACCTAGGTGTTGTAAAATCGATGCGTCTAGGTAGAGCTTAGACTTAGGTGAAGAAAAGCCTCACCGAGGGGTGACTTTCCGTCCTTCAATAGAGCCATGAGCTTCCTCTTCTCAACAAATCCTCCAGAGGGTTATTGGCCAGGCTATGGCCTCTACTTCTTCTTAAGTACATTTCATATACTTCCACTGGGCTTTTGTCGGTATATTGCTAATATTATGTAATTTTAAGTATATCCTAAATAGAAATTGAGGGGTAGTGATTAAGTATTAGAACCTGTGTTGTTAGATCTCATTTTCTTAGTTAATTTGCTTGCTGTCACCATTAAAGTAAAACAAGGAGTTTGAACCAAATGACTTCTCACATCTAGTCCAGGTTCTATGTACAAACTTCGGAAGGGCTCAGGCAAGGTCATTCTTCGGAGAAGACAAGACGGTTGGATTGTTCCCACTCTTCTTACTTATTGCTGCAAAAAGGGACTACAGCAAGGGCTCAGTAAATATTTGTTGAGCAAATGATGTATGATTTCGCCTGGTATCTAAAATTCCCACTAGGCAAGTTTGAGGATAATGGGGAAGACATCCTTCAGGAGCCTCTGCAGGAAGTAAGGTAAAGCTTAAATCTTAGGGAAGGAAGACTCTTTTACTTTAAGAATTTTTTTGGTCCAATCAGTTCTCCCAAACACTAACCAACCACAGTGCCTGCCTTTTGAAAATGTTGAAGACAGGCAGAAATGAAAACAAGCCCCAGCAGGGGTCAGAGCTAAGAAGGACCAAAGTGGCTGTCAGCAAATTAGACCTCAGTTTCTAAGCTGAGGACTCTGAAGCAGGGACTTGGATTTTCTGAGTGAAATCAGCAGAAAAGATGACAAACAAATGGACACCAGGAAATGAATATGGCATCAATAAAATCTAGTCCATTTAACTGGATTGTGGCAGTCTGTGACTTCACTAAACTCATCCTGTGGTCACTTAGCTGCTCTCCCACCCGGAGTCCTCTTCCCCCTCATCTACTTACCAACTCACCCGGACTCCGCCTTCTCCCCATCTAATTCCCCATTCTTTCTTTCCAGTCATTCTTTCCAGTCTATGCTTTGGGTGCTATCTGTGTGCAAATACAAGTATTCATTCAGTCAAACTCAATGGGAGAGATGTAATGTTAGTATATATTTTTAAAAATAAGTAAGTATACACATATGGAGAGCAACCATTAGTGAACTGGGGCTGAATTCTTGCGGAGCAGGACAGAAATCACAGCTGTGACCTACCTTGCAGATGGAGACTGGGCCTCCCAACATAGAGTGCATGTCATAAACACTGTTTACCCAGCACACGCGCAGAACTCATTAGCACATACTGAAAATTATTCCACCCCCCTGGGCTACAGGTCGAACTCAAAGTCAATAACCGGAGGGGGGAATCTAATATGCAGAGCAGATGCAAGCCTTTTTTTTATAACTTAAAAATAGGATCAAAAGGCTCTTACCTCTGTTAAAAACTTATTAGAAGGCACTAAACCTAGTCCAGGATTTTTAAGTCTAATAGTTAATCAGGAATAATGATCTGCCAGAAAAAATGGAAAAAAAACAGTTCTGTAACTAAAGCAACTGTTCCATGTCCTTCTGGGAGTGGGAGAGTCCACTGAAGCACATCATGGACTATTGCTCTTTGTGATTTTATCTTTGGAAATCTGTTCTAATACTTGCTTTGGACTCCTCTCATACATAAAAAGAAGCAATGTCATGGTTTAATGCACCTTCTCCTACTGATGGAATTAACTTACGCAAAAAGACCCACGTTTACAAAAGTCTGTAACAATGTTCAGAGACTAAATCCCTGAAGTAGTTCTGAAAGGGGGGATGGGTTATGTTATGTGGAGCAGAGGGTATGGAATAAAGGGGAAGGAAGACCCAGAGATTTATCCACAGCCATAGAACCCTGTATCATGGCATACACTTTGAATCAGAATATAATTTACTTCTGTCTTCTATCAAAGTGGGACTGACTTTATTTCATGCCTTCAAGAAATGACGCTACCGTAGGTGCAGCCTGAGTCCTAGGGCCTCCCTCACAGTGAGTCAGGGTAGAGCCCCCAGCATGACCAAGCCTACAGCAAATCCCAACTCCCTCTTCTCTTCTCCGGTGCTGCTCTAGAACCACATCAGGCCTGAGAAGTGGGCACCATTTGCCCTCCATGTGCCAAAGGTGTCTTTATTTAAAAAGTGCTAACCTAAATGAGATTCTGGTTTTCAAAAAGCTCTCTGTATAAAGGACCACTTCTCAAGACACTGTCCCCTATAGATGACATCATATATAGCTTTCTTTTATAGCAAAATGGTGAGTGCATGAAGAATAGGTGATATCATCTTGAAAAGATCTCCGACTGCCAATTACTCAGCTGACCTCTGTGGATGGAACCCAGTCCTCAGGATCCGAGTTTGCCCGGGTTTATGATTCTGCTCCCAAGCAGACAAGAGCGTTCATAGGTGGTTACCTCCTTGCTGAGGGCAAAGGTCTAGTGGGCCCAGACAACTAAACTGAGCACAACAGTGCCCTCAGGGTGCAGTGGGAGAATAGAGAGGCGACAGGATTATCAGGGCAGAAGGAGGGGTAGGGCAACATGATAAATATTCCTATGACGTTTATATCATATACAAATGTTTATGTGATGGAGCCAGAAGTTGAGGTTGGGTGGTTAATGCCGAGGACTGTCCTCCCTTGCAGGCAGTGTGGTTGAATAGAAAGAGCAGAATTCCATCCCAGTCTCACCTGCTGTTAGGCTGAATGACCCTATTTCTCACCATGTAAAATATGGATGATACCTACCGCCCAGGCTGCTGGGAAGATGAAAAAGACAACTTGTCCATTAAAAAAAAAAAAAAAAAAAAGACAACTTGTCCGATACGCCTAATCCCAATGCCTGACGCACAGAGGGCAGTCAACAAATGTTAGCCTCCCACCTCCACACCCTTTCCTTCTCCACTTTCTCCCAGTTGCCGAAACCCACACTGGCTCTTCTTGCATCTGGTCAGAATAACTTGGAAAACTTGACCTTGATATATCCAAACTCTGCTGACCTCCAGAAGCCACCCACATAAGTTCTCATGGTAACAGACCCAGAGGCTGAGTCAGCCCCTACAGCTTTCACTCTCCCCAACCAAAGGACAAGTTTTCTCTGAGGATTATACAACTTTGATGAAACCAACGTCACGGGAACAAGCAGTACAGGGAGAGCGTTGTACATGATGTCTCAGTCATTAGAAAGTTGCTGTATCATAGCGTTCAACATTGCAGGGGTTGTTGCAGAGATTTCACAAAGGTTTCTGAGCCAAATGTGGGTTCTCATTAAAGCTATACTGGACACGAGCCTTTCTCTCATAAAACTGAGCATCACCACTTATCAGGAAACCACCCTACAAAGAAAGGAAAGCCGAAGGACACCACCAATGGTCACGTGGGGACCCAGGGGTGGGACAGGGGAAAAAGAAGGTTAAGGGAACCTAGACAGAGCAGATCAATAAAAATGACTCTTCTCTCCCTTCCACTTTAGCTGGGTGGTTTTTGGGGGGGGTTTTTTGTTTTGTTTTGTTGTTGTTGTTGTTTAAAGATTTTATTTATTTGACAGAGAGAGAGACAATGAGAGAGGGAGCAGAAGCAGGGGGAGTGGGAGAGGGAGAAGCAGAGTCCCCACAGAGCCGGGAGCCCGATGCCGGGCTCAATCCCAGGACCCTGGGATCATGACCTGAGCCGAAGGCAGACGCTTAACGACTGAGCCCCCCAGGCGCCCCTAGCTGGGTGTTTTTTAAATACAACCGTGCGCTATGAATTCTTAAAGAATATGTTACAGGGGTGTATGTTTTCTCTTGTCTTGTTTAGATGAAAACACCAGGCAGAAATGGGTATAATTAGAATGGGAAGAGCAAATACTGGAGATGGGGCAAACTGAGTAATATAACCAAACAACTGAATAATATAACCAAACTAAATTTTAAAAACTATTTGTATTTTATTTTCTTTTAAAATTGTGTAAATATTTACATTTATATTTGTAGGCAGTTGCCAAGAATTGACAAACTGATCTGAGTACTTTACATTCTCAAGGAATAGATCATTTATCAATATTTACATTGGACTTTACAGTGCTCAGCGCACTGTCTCGCATGTTATTGGATCCTAATATTAAGGTATTAATGTCCCTACTTTTTAAATTGAATTGTAATTAACATCAATGCCGTGTTCAGTTCAGGTGTACAACATGATGGTTTAACAATTCTATGCATTACTCAGTGCTCGTCATGCTAAGTGTACTCACCATCTGTCACCAAACAACATTATTACAATATTATTGACTCTATTCCCTATGCCGTACTTTTCATCTCCATGACTTATTTATTTTAAAACTGCAAGTTTGTACATCTTGGTCCCCCTTGATCCCCCTATTTCACCCATGCCCCCCCTCCCTCCCCTCTGGCAACCACCAGTTTGTTCTCTGTATTAATATCCCTACTTTTATTTAACAGATGAGGACATAGAGCTTAAGGGAAATGAAGGGACTTTTTCCCCCAAGGTCTTGCAGCTAGTGAGAAAGAGTTGGAGGACTTAAACCCAGGCTTCCTATGGCAAAGCTCTCCTCCCACACCAGGCTGCCTCTCATTAATTCTCCCCGCCCCCCCAACACACACACAAAAGCACAATTCTTACCTTCCAACTCCTCTTTCTCATAGTGAATGTTGAGGATTGTACTGGTCCCACCCTGATCCACCACAGCCTCTTCATCTGGTCTCTGTTGAGACATAAAGAAGTAGCCATAGTAATATGCATACATTCATTCAAACGTTCATTTAAGTCCCATGTATATGCCCGACCCTTTTTGCAACCCTTGGGGGAGAAAGCCCGATGGTTTACATATGTTTTTCACTTGAACCTCACAATAACTTTGAGACACAAACATGACAGTCATTCTCTTTCTCATTTTATAAAAGAGCAGCCTGAGCGTCAGAGAAAATGAAGTAATTATTGGTCAAGGGCACAAATGTGGTAAAAGGCAGAGGGGGGACTGAACTCAGGTCTTGTGACTGCAGACCTCATGCCTTTTCCAACTCCCCACTCCCCCTGTACAAGTGGATAATAGGCCTGCATTGTGTAAGTGGTGTCAACCACATCGTTTCACTTATCGTAAATCGGTCTGCTTGACCTCTCCACAGTGCTTGAGCCTCTTGTCCTGGAAATTCTCCATCCTGCTTCTCTGATCAAGTCTCCTCCCTCTCAACCTAAGGCTCAGCCTCTTCCTCTAACTATAATTGCCAAGCAGGAGCACTCTATCTTCTGTGTCCCTCCCTTGAGTCTTACAATCTCAACAGTAGCCTGGAACTGCTGGCTCAGTATTTGACAAACCATTGGGATGTCGACCACAAGATCCACATGTCTAAAACCAAACTAATCTTTCCAAACCAGCACCCTGTGCTCATTTACTTACACTCACCCATGGCACCATTGTTTCTTAGTCCACGTTTGAAATTTCAGATGTATTGACTTATCCATTCCATGTACATTGAGTGTCATAATATGTCTTCAGGGAAATCATTTTCTCCCTTTTCTTATCAAGTGTCCTCCTTTGCAATTTTTCTTGAATCCACTCTCATGTTTCATCTACTCTAGGCCACACTCTCCAGCCCTTTAGGTCATACTGGACAAGCTTTCAGTTTTGGAACCACACTTACTTTCTTCCTTGAGTGTTTCTCCCTGCCTGAACTATAAGTTTCTCCCTGCTATCCACACCTCCACCACCAACAGCCAATACTTATTCATCATCCGGCAGATCTCAGCCTCAATGCACTTCCTTGAAAGGCTGCCCTGACTACCCCTCCTCTGAACTAAGCTAGGTCCCCCCATTAATATGCCCTCACAGCACACTGTACTTCTCCTTCGAAATGAAATGTCTCTGCTCAAGGGAGGGACCCTGTGTGTCTTCCTCACCACTGTTTCCCCAGCATCCTACACAGACTTTTCACATAGTAGGTACTCAATAATTCTTTGGTAAAATAATGACTATAATGGCACCTACCTTATGAAGACCCTGAATTATTTCCAAAAAAATCTGAACTGATTTTCCTGCCAATCTATTTCTCTTATCAAATCTGCAGCTCCAGCCAAGTTCACTGATCCCATGGGCATTGTGCACGTTCCCACTTTCACGCTTTTGCTCACATGTCCTGTCGTCTAATGTGCCCCATCCCCAACTCTCTGCCAAGTCCTGACTATCTTCTAGATCCTGCTCAAATTTCCAGCTTACTGTCCTAATTTTACTCTTTTCCTTTCCAGGTATCATCCATGTCCCCGAATAAGGCAACCCTGAACTGCATTTTCCTAATGAGAAGATTCAAGAAAAAAATTTTTTTTAAAGATTTTATTTTATTTATTTGAGAGAGAAAGAGAAAGAGAGTGAGCACAAACAGGGGGAGTGGCAGGCAGAGGGAGACGGAGAAGCAGGCTCCCCGCTGAGCAGGGAGCCCGATGACCCTGACATCATGCGGCTCTATCCCAGGACCCCAGGATCATGACCTGAGCTGAAGGCAGACGCTCAACTGACTGAGCCACCCAGGCACCCCTCAGAAAAGTGTTTGAGGACAACTTGAATAAATCAATTTTTAGGGAAGTAGATGAAAGTCAAATGTCTATCTATCTATCTATCAATGCTATTCTTTTTTCTATTCATTTCTGCTATTTCTTTTTTTACTCAAGTATAATTAACATATGTGTTAAATTAGTTTCAAGTGTATAATATAATGATTCAACACTTCCATACATATTCAGTGCTCATCAAGGTAAGTGTATTCTTAATTCCCTTTACCTTTCTCACCCATCCCCCTGGCAACCACCAATTTGTTCTCTGTATTTAAGAGTCCGGGGGTTTTGTGGTGCCTGGGTGGCTCAGTCAGTTAAGCAGCTGCCTTCAGCTTGGGTCATGATCCCAGGATCCCATATATATGTACATATATATGTAAAAGAAAAAGTGTTGAAACATAAGCATCTGCTTATACTTAAAAGCATACAAAGGAAGAATAAGCCATGAACCTTTTTTTTTTTTAATAGTTACCTAAGGAGTTAGGAGACAAGGCCAGAACACCGGAATTCTTTGAATATACCTGATTTTATAAATATCTTACATAATTTTAAAACAAAACTAAAAATTTTATTTATTTATTTATTTATTTATTTTAAAGATTTTATTTATTTATTTGACAGAGAGAGACACAGCGAGAGAAGGAACACAAGCAGGGGGAGTGGGAGAGGGAGAAGCAGGCTTCCCGCTGAGCAGGGGGCCCGATGCGGGACTCGATCCCAGGACCCTGAGATCATGACCTGAGCCAAAGGCCGACGCTTAACAACTGAGCCACCCAGGCGCCCCACAAAACTAAACATTTTAAAAGCAATTCCCAGAAATGAGAAACAAAATGAAAACAAAGGTCAAATTGATGGCATAACTATTCCAAGAGAAATTCTTCCACATAACTTTAAGATATAATAAATTGACTGAACATCCTCAGTGGCACATACCCTAAAGACAAAAAGAGTTTAAGATCTTAAACTGCTTTTCCATTATCTATTGGTGGTAGTGTTGGTGCTATCCCTCCGAGACTGTTGTGCATTGTGAGATAGACACATGAGTGATTATGTAAACTTGTTCCGTCATTCTCAATGTCACTGAGAACTGGCATTCTCAGCAGGGGTAAGAGGAAATACAGTCTTAAGATAGAAGTTAAGTAAAAACCATGTAGTCCTGAATTTGAATCGGATGTATCAACAAGAACATATATTTTTATCTTTTAATGTTTTTAAATTTACAAATTTACATTTTCTAGCTCTGTCCACTCAAAAGTCCTAGAAAAAAATGAACAGCCAGAAGCAATGAGTATCCTTAGGGCCTAGATTGTGGTCTCTCAAGTATCATTTTCTACTAAAAGCTACCCACAGACAACTAGGATGGTGTCAAAAGGACTCAGGAGTCAACTTAAAGAGATCCCTTGCTTTTTAGGACAATTTGAGCATCAGTAAGAGTAATAACTATAACAGATTAACTACATCACATATGTTAAAATCCATGAGTTCACAATGTCACTCTAAAAATTAATTGGTTACCATTGGAGGATAATGCTAACAAACCAGCTCATTATCTTGAAAACTGTTAAAAATTTATCTTGGCTTTCCTATATAAATTGTACCATAGAGTGATATCATAGAAGAGATGAAAGAAGTTTCTTATTATAGAGAAAAATAAACGAAACAGGAATGTTAGAATTAGGACATCACCATTTTGCAATCTCTAATGGATTACATTGATTTTCAACAGCCACTAACATCACAAAGAGAGAAAACCAGACATTATATGTCTCCTAATGGGAGGCCGTACCACCACCCATTAGGTAATCTTAACAAATAAATTGTCCCTGAATCTGACCAAGCCTCCAAATCCAAATACCAGTTTACTGGACATACAGTGAAGCACAATTCCATGGAAAAACACCAGCATGAGAACACAATCAACAGAATCCAGACTGTGGGAAACTACAGAACTACAGAACAAATCCTCTCCCTCCCCCTACCCCTTTTTTAAAATAAATAATTGCAAGAAGAGAGAGGCAGAAACAGAGACAGGGAGAGAAGAAGGTGAAAGCGGTAGTTTAAAAGAGACGACAAACCAATCTCAATGTGTGGACTTTATTTGAATCCTGATTCAAACAAACCAAAATAATATTTTTAGTTATTTTTTTAAATAATTTTTTGAGACAGTTGGAAATTTGAATATTGACTAGATCTTTTATCATATTAAAGAAATTGCTGTTTTTTCTTTAAGTGATACTATGCTCATTTTCTAAAGAATTCTTATCTTTTTTTGTATGGGATTGTTGAATCACTCTCTTATACACCTGAAACTAATATAACACTGTATGTTAACTATGCTGAAATTAAAATAAAATAAAATTTCCAATTAAAAAAAGAATTCTTATCTTTTAGTGATACACACAGAAATATTTACAGATAAAACTGAAAGATTACAGATATGGAAAATAATATATTAACTTAGAAATACTACTTTTTTCACATTTTATAATTATTTAAAATTATTCAAAATCTTCAAATACACCTTTAACATCAATGTAAAGACTCACGTAAAGTAAAGGAATAACTTTTAGGCAGAAAAACTTGCTTTTACTTTAGATTTGTTATTCATTTATCTAGCTCATCTTTTCGATCATGGATTTCCTGATGGCAACAGCCACAATTTGTCATCTTTATGTTCATAGAGCCCAATACAGTAGGTTACCACTGTAAGTACTTTGCACTCTTATAAGTCCCAGAAAGGGAGGTGCTGTGCCTATGTTCACCACTCTGTACCTAGCAGCTAGTATAATGTCCAGTATGTGGTAAGTATCCAAAAACTCTGATGAATAAATATTTATTAGGGTTCTGAACTCTTTATCATATGATCATTATATTTTCCCATAAAACTTCATATATATGTGAATAATTTTTCATGTTGGCTTCCCCACAGGTTTATAATATCCAAAGGACAGGGACCGATTAGTTATAATGTTTAGCACTGTCCAAAGATACCTGGCACAGCATAGAACACAGCAGGAATCTGGAGGAAGGGGGCGGGGGGGTGGCGGGATAATTGATTTTATGATTCTAAGAACCATGAAAATACAATATGGAGAGCAAGGTCAAACATCTGAAATATTCAGGATGAAAAATCAACCTGTTTCCTTAATTT